TGCGCAGAAACTAAGTATTTTTTTATGGCGAGCATGCAAGCAAGCCCTTAGTGCACTTCTATTAGCAAATACCTCAGAATGTGCATGATTTTAAAATATTACGTTTTCAAGGTTTCTTTAGTTAATAAGTAGATTGGAACCTCCATTTAAGCAAAAAATGCCTGTGTTTGGAGATAAGCACTTATAATAAAAATTTTTGAGATACTATGCAGATAATGCTAAAAGTTATGAACTACAGTAGATAACTTTTTATTAGCTTCCATCAACGTAAAAATTCGCAGAATGAATAATGTACAATATTAATATCTCTTAAACTGGTGGAAATGCTAATTAATGAGTAGAAGAACTTTTTGTTTTGCATAATTCTTGCGTGCTAAGAAACTAGACCACAATCCATCAAAACAGTTGAGCTACCGATATTTGAAAATATTATTTCATTTTTACCAATCCCTAACAATATTTATGTCTCTCTGTAAAAAATATATCCAAATTTAGAAGTTCTTAACTATAACTTAAATAATAAACTTTTCAGGTGCTGTTAAGAAGATACCAGCGTTATTGGTGCCCACAGTTAGACCACTTCGGAAGCAAGTGATTCACTTGAGGCGACAAATAAATAGGCTTCGGAGGAAACAGGATTCCTTTAAATCCCGTCTCACTAAGGCTGAGCAACTTAGTCAAGAAATTGCGTTTAAAAAAGTAACTCAAACAATGACAAATCCAGCAAAAATATTTACTGCAATGCAAACCCGTTTGACAAGAACTAGCGCAAAAGGACGGCGATTCACTTTGGAAGAAAAAATATTATCTTTGAACCTATATAAGCGGAGCCCAAAAGGCTTCACTTTACTATCTAAATACTTCACCCTGCCTTCGCCGAAGTCACTGAAAAATCTTCTAGCTGAAATCAAATTGAAACCCGGAATAAACAAGTTGGTTTTCACCAAAATAAAAGAAACTATTAAAGATATAGATATCAAAGATCGTCTTTGTACATTGATATTTGACGAGATGTCTTTAACCCCACAAGTACATTTTGATGCGGCGAAAGATGAGCTGAAAGGGTTAACAAGCCATGGTACTGAGCCATTTGCCAATCATGCTCTAGTATTTATGGTAAAAGGCATCAAGGTAAACTTCAAGCAACCTGTGGCCTATTACTTAACTAACAGCTTAAAAAGACATGATCTAAAAAATATTATTAAAGATGTTATAAGTAATGTAGTAGCTGCAGGCTTAAAAGTAATTTGCACAGTGTGTGACCAAGGTCCTAGCAACGTGGCCGCTATTTCAGCTTTGGTAGCTGAAACCAGAGAAAAAATAATTAAATCTGGTAAAAGTTGGAACGGCGACTATTTTCAAATAAATAATACAAAGATTATACCATTGTATGACGTGCCTCACCTTATAAAAGGTTTACGCAATAATTTATTGAGTAAAAAAATGCAATACATAGATTATAATGATAATAATAAAACAAAAATCATCAGGTGGGAATATTTCCAAATTTTATACGAGGCGGATAAAAATTTAGGTGAATTAAGGTGCTTAGGAAAGCTTACAGACGAACATATATATAAAGATAAGATAAAAAAAATGAAAGTGAAAAACGCTGCACAAGTTTTTAGCCACACTGTAGCGTGCACTGCATCTCATTTAGTGGCTCGTAAATTGATTCCTGAAGAATGTCAACAATTAGTACCTTTTGTTACGATGATCGATAACGTTTTTGACTCACTGAACAGTAACACATTCCATATACCTGAGGGTAAAATATATAAAGGACCTGTAAGACGAGCAACACCTCATCATGCCCTATGGCAGAAAGCCATAAAATTATTAAAATCAATGAAATTCATTATTTCTAAAAAAACTAATGACAAGGTCAGATTGATTGAGTCGACCCCACCTTCGGTTGTAAACTTTATTAAAACACTTGAAGGTATGCAATTAATTTGGAAAACTTTGTCTCAAACGTATTTGTTTGATTGCATGTTAACTCGTAACTTTAATCAGGATCCGGTAGAGAATTTCTTCGGTAATATTAGAAGCTATGGGGCGAGAAATGTTGCTCCTAATAGCATAGCATTCGAAGGGGCATATAAATCGTTACTACTTAGTAATTTTAACTCTGCCCACTCTATAGGAGCGAACTGCGAAAAAGACAACAATGACTGTTTGCAAACTTTAGATTTCTTTCTTCAAAAGGCTTCTGATATTACCGATGAAAATGATGTTAATGTTATTAATAATGATGACGAATGTAATATATACCATGTAGATGAATTAGTTTACGATTGTGACAATGTGGTTGAAGATCATGGACAAAAAAACTATGTATGTGGCTGGGTCCTCACGAAATGCCTAAAGAAAATTAAATCCTGTAAGACATGCAGGCAAACTTTAGTTGGGGACAAAAGTGATATAAACAACGATTATATTTGTAGAAAAGAGTATAATAACCAAAAAACCTGGCTATGTTACCCTTCAAGTGCTTTAGTTAGTAGTTTCAATGACATTCAAAAAATTGTAACAACACATTTGCAAAAAAAAAATGTACAAAAACAAAGGTTAAAACAGCACTTAAAAATGTATATAGATGTTTTTATGAATTTCCCTCAATTATGTGATGTACATGCCCAACCAATAAAAGAATTGTTTGTTAATACAACCATGAATATCTTAATATACAGTTGGTGTCGGTCAATTAATAGAATTTTAAGTGGTAAAATTGAATATAAAGACTGTAATGATTACTTTAAAAACGAAGCCCAGAAATATTATATTAAGCATAAACATTTTAAAAGTAAATAAATGAAAATTATAAATTTTAAAGTTTTGGTTTTATTTGCATTTCCATGTGCAATGTAGATTTTTTCCAAATCCAATGTTTTGAAAATATTACCCACCGTAAGATAAATATTTTCAAAATAATGGATTTGAAAAAATTCTACATTGTACATCATAAAAACAATAATTCCTTGAAGGTTATGAGGGCCTATGTGTGCGAGAACTGTGTGTATGTGTGCGTGGACTTTATGTATGTATGTGTGCGTGGACTTTATGTATGTGTGTGAGCGTTACGTACGTAGGTTTAGTACAGCGAATTTAACACCAGGCTATCAATTAGTAGGCTCAAAAATTTGACAGAGAGGGTTCTCTATTTCCTATGTATTACTTTTCTCTATGAAGCAAACTGGAAGCAAACATTTTATTTTAACGACATGAATGAAAGAATATATTGACAACTTACAAGTATTCGGCCAATGGTACAAATTCCAGGCCAGGAAGGATTTATAAAAAAAAAAAAAAAAAAAAAACAGGTGCTGCTATTGAAATTTAAGTTATTTTTTTCTCAAAATTCTAATTCTAATTTAATATTAAAGCAACTATGTATGTGGTAAATAGCTTTATTATGGTCAGTAAAGATTTATAAAATGCCACTCTTTTCTTGTGCCACCTTTCATTAATTAATTATAATTTGTTGATAATGCTTTTAGGGTAAGTGGGTTGGGTGCATTAAATATTAGAATGACTCAAACAGTTTCTTCATATTTATCTCCAGATTGACAGGACTAATAATGATGTAGGTACTAATGACATATTATTAGGTAAATGGACAACCAAGATTTGCTTGTACACAAAACCAAAAATAAGCACTAGTTAGATTGTTTTATCCCTCACATGTTATGGCTATTTTCAAGTATCTATAGACATTTTCCATTATAGTAAAAAAGTATATTTATTAACTTAATGGTTTACTTAAAAATAATTTTAATTATTTAGTCTTCCACTTCTTATTGGTAGTACAACTCCAAATTCATGCCATCATGGATTTCATCTGTACAAAAATGTTAAGGAAATAAAGAGACAAACAATAATAGTGTTTTGATTCTTCTCAGCACTTGCCATATGTTTCTCTCGAAGCGCTAGTAGGGCCCAAAAGATAAGGAGACATGTAAAGTGCCCCATAAGTGCCACTTGTGGTTTATACTGAATAAATATTTTTGATTTAGATTTTTGATTAAATTTGTTTTTATCAATAACTGACTACACTTTTTCAAACAGTGCAAAAATGTGAACCCAGTAAACTGTTAATTAATGTAGTATAATAGTACTGTAGCGAAGTTCAATCAAAAAATGTGCGAAATACATTAAAAAGGATACAGTCAGAGAGTTTGATGTGGTCCTTGAATACTGTGTACCATTTCTTCAATACAATTTTATCGTATCGTGTGCCAGTCTGGGCTGCGATCAGCTTCTTCAAATCGCCAACTGTGTCGTCTGGATTGCACTTGACTCTGACTTTCTTCCCAAGACGATCGTTGCATGTTACTTCGAGCATTTTCTATGGGAAACGTAAGAGGTTATTAATGAGCACTTTATAAAGTTATAGATACGATAAGTTTAGCAGAGCATTAACCTTTTCTTGGAAATATGAAATTACTCAAATATAACTTCTTACACTATTTTGTTGTTCAAAATCCGAAATAAATCACAAATTGTGACTGTGTTGTGTTGTGATTCACTGACAGATGACTGACAGCTGACAGTTCACTGGCAGCAGGCGCAGCAGCTGTCACTGACAAATTAGTTTTGTTTACACATTCACAGCTGTCTGATCGTTAGGTAAAAGCAAAACTAAACAATACCAATGATTATGGAAAATAATAAAATCCTATACAATTTTCTATTTAAAACAGTGTCTTATAATTATTATTTAGGTAAAATAGATAATTATTTAATAAACCGTGTTAGATACTTTGGAAAAACTAAACGCTAATATCAATTTGACAATAGGACACCAATTTGTCACATTTTGATAAAAACATCCGGTCAAGTTGAATACATTTCAAACCGTTTACAATAATAATTAGGTAATGTATTAAAATTTACATGGCATTAAATTTAAAACTAATTTTGTTATGTGTCTAATTACTTTTTCATGTCATTAAATGTTCATTTAGGTAATTAATCCATAAATGGACAGGAAGTTTAGTCCAAATAACCACACGTCATTCGACAGCCAACGACTGACGTGACGAGTGTGGAAGTGAAATTTCTTTTTGGATTAGTGGTTGTGCCCGTGAATATATCCGTGAAAATGCAAATTCCAAATGAGTATATTTCAACTGCGGAAGATTTTGCAGATCAGGTAAGAAATATCTCGTTTTGGTCTATTTTAATACCATACTTTCATGAATAAACACCAAATTGAGCGTGTACTTTGATTTGTCACGTCACCGCACTTATTTTCTTGTTGGCGCTTATTGTTGAATGGATAACTACGAATTACTGTCCAATTCATACAAATAATATCGCCATGTGCCTGTGCTATTGTTAAATACACCAATGTTGAGTTAGTCACTAACAAACAATCGACTCCAAAATTTTTACTCTGTTTAATTTTAATAAACCATTGGATGTTTCACCCTTTAACCTACTTATCAAACTTTTGCCATTATCTTTAAACAATTCGAAGTCACTAACTTCTGCTACAAATACTTGCTTGTTTCCTTTTAATTGAAAGTTCACTTCAAACACCTGCTGTAACTCCTATAGTCTACCTTCAGGAAACTGAGCAACATGGATCCCAACTCATTTCTAAATATAGTTCTAAAAGATTGTTAAAGTTCAGTTATGTCCATGAGTTATAGGATTTCTCCATATTTATGAACTAGGTTACATAAAAACACTTTCACTTTTATCATGATGTTGCTAGACTACCAACCCATCTATGCTTTGAGATTTTTGACTTCCTTTTGTGTAAATCATCAATATTCTTCCTGTATTTAGTATACCAAATATACATAATTTCCCTAAAATATACCAGATGCCAGATATATTAATGTTATCACTGTTAATTTAATAATAAACACTGTGATTATCTCTTAATATTACAACTACCTAAACCCTCATAAAATTTGATAATATTATTACTTTGATAATGCAAATAAAACATCCATAGTCAATGAAGTAGTCTACAAAATGGATAGAAATAAATTGTTACTAAAAATTGATGTCTTTATAATTGTTGATAGTGAGGTGATGTTAATTCCTGAATATTACTTGCATAGGTAATCCGCAAAGGCAAAAATGTATTGCCAACGGTGGCGCGGCTCTGCCTCATATCCACATTCCTGGAGGACGGCCTGCGGATGTGGTTCCAGTGGTCGGAGCAGCGTGACTACATGAACATGTCCTGGGGCTGCGGCACATTCCTAGCCACTGTGTTTGTGGTAAGTGTGCTACTAATTTATTTCTAATACATTGAAGTATACAAGTATTTGTATACAGATTCATTTTATTATTTATGTATGGTTTATTTTTAAAAGCTAAAAAAATGAAAATTATTTATTCAGTTTTGACCTATATTTTGGCAATTGAATGCTATGCGGGCTTTATGAATGTCCAAGTAGTTCCAGACTCATGCTTATGTTTACCATTATTGGTCTAAATAAACCATTTTCTAAACATTCCAGTGTGTTGTGTAAGTGCTTGTTTTTTCAACATGCACATTTTAACTTTTAAGCCAGTTTATGCACTCATAAATTAATTAGCTTTCCTAATGACTGTTTGAACTTTCAACATACTGATGTACTTACTTAATTTTACCTGATTATCCAAGTTAATTGAGTAATAAGCTTAATGGTGTTTTAAGTGCTATATATTTTTACTCATCTTTAAGAATGGTTATCTGTTTGTTTTGAACATATATTAATATTTTTATGTCTTTCAGGTTGTAAATCTATTAGGTCAAATCGGCGGGTGTGTTATGGTACTCGGCAGACTGAAGGTTGACATTGCTTGTGGAATGCTGTTTTTCATTGTTGTTCTCCAGGTAAGTTTCTATATTTATAGTAAAACAAAAACAAGTATACCTTTTTTAGTATTGAAAAGTCTTGTAGGTAATTCTCATTATTCAATATAAAATAAGCCCTTATCTGAACACTACTAACACTATACAGGGTGACTGGAACTGAACCCGCCATAGCTAATATGCGTATAGAGGAGGTCATTTGCTAATTACTGAACCTTACTTTCTATGACTGAAGTTTTATAGTTTAGGAGATATGACAATTTTTATACATTTTTCAGATATTTCCGAAATTTGACCTAAAAACTGCTTAAATTTTTTTCTCGCGTGATTTCAACAGTTTTTTTTTATTTGATAATAATATCGAATATGTCTTTATTCAAATAAAATAAACTTCTGATCCAGATAATGATTGAATAGCTAGTTACGAGCCGCCAAAGTCTAACAAAAGTACAAACCACGTTAAAAATGTTTACTTCGAAATCGATTTAAAAAAAATTGATGGTGATAATGGATTGCCAATAATCTTAAAAATATCTCTAGCTTCTCTTCTTTCCAATGACATATTACACGTTGTATTTAGATATTGAAATTTGTCAAAAATTCAAAGTTTATGGAAGAAAATGGAGTAATAATACAAAAATTATCCATACAAAGTTGATTTTGAATTGTTTTGTTCTCTTTTCTTCATAATGTGATTATTATTTTTAAATTCATTTTTTAAAAAACACACAAAAATAGTTATGAAAAGGAGTATAGCAGAAAATATGAGATGTTTGAAGAAACTTTGTATGGATAATTTTCGTATTATTACTCCATTTTCTTCCATAAACTTTGAATTTTTAATAAATTTCAATATCTAATTACTACGTGTGATATATCAATGGAAAGAAGAGAAAGTAGAGATTTTTTTAAGATCATTGGCAATCCATTATCAGTATTGGTTTTTTTTTTCAAATCAAATTCGAACTTGAATTTTTTATCGCTGTTTGTACTTTTGTTGAACTTTGGCGGCTCGTAACTAGTTATTCAATCATTATCTGGACCTGAAATTTATTTTATTTGACTAAAAGTTTATTCGATATTAGTGTCAGATAAAAAAATCGGTTAAAATCATGCGAGAAAAAAAATTAGGTCCAATTTCGGAAAAATCTGAATAATTTATAAAAATTTACATATCTTCTAAACTATAAAACTTTAGCCATCGAAAGTAAGGTTCAATAAGTAGCAAATGACCTCCTCTATACGCGTATTAGCTATGGCGGGTTCAGTTCCAGTCACCCTGTATATTGCCTAAGCTTATATATTGCCTTATGTTCCAGACATTCGCATACAGTATACTATGGGACATGCAGTTCCTCCTCCGCAACTTGGCGTTGATCGGCGCTTTGCTCCTCGTACTAGCGGAGGCGCGGGCTGAGGGCCGCAGCCTGTTCGCCGGAGTCCCGAGTCTCGGCGAGAACAAGCCCAAGACATACCTACAGCTGGCAGGCCGCGTGCTGCTCGCGTTTATGTTCATCACGCTGCTGAGATTCGAGATCTCCTTCCTGCAGGTCAGTGTAGATAACTTTATTTTATTTTAAGTCCCGTTAGCCCCTCGCACTAAAGCTAAAATGCTTGTTTGTATCACGAGTGAGCTCACCATTATAGTCGGTCGGCGGCGGGGACCGAACCCGCGTTCCCCGGATAATGAGTCGGCCAGTCCGACCCCTTCACCGTTCGGCTATCGTGGCTTAATTTCAGTTCAGTTCTTCAGTAGATAGATATCATAGATCGCATCTGCACCCCTGGGTGAGATTATCAAGAGCATGCTAAGGTTGTGGCCTCCTATAAACGCCGTAGGCCGCGTCATAATGCTTACTTTAGATATGTACTATTGTGGTCTCCTTCAGACGTCGACGTCGACGTTCAGCCGCGATAGGAACGTTTGACGCTGACGTCTGATGCCGCTTATAGCGTTTTAGAAGACCATACCCTAAAAACTTTACTAAGTGAGTGCCAATCTTAACTGTACTGACTGGCTAAACAGTAGTTGCAGTGTTTAGAAAAACAGTTATGTTATGAGGATTAGTCTTGTTAACAGTCGATGTGTTTAAAACATAGTGTAATGTAGAACGCCATGCCGTAAGTTCTGTGTCGCTCCGCTCCGTTGACCACCGCTAATGATGACAGATCTCTTGCGGCATTCACAAAATGCAACAAAAGTACTTTTAGTAGTTTTTTACAGTCTTCTTAGACCAGTGGTTCGTAACCTTTAAGTCACGAGGAACCATTTTACCAAAGTTCTGTCTTGTCAGGGACCACTTTTTTATTTTTTTCAAAATCCCATGAAAGGGTAGGTCGATTTCTCGCCCACTGTGCGCCGTTTGCGTTATGTTGACTTCACTCATCACGTCACATCACTTGTTTATTACTATGTCTTCGTGGACCACTTGGAATGCCTCCAGGGACCACCAGTGGTCCGCGGACCACCGGTTAAGAACCACTGTCTTAGACAGATTAGGTATCGAATTGAGAAATTTCCTAGTGGTGGTGTCCAAACTTTAAGGCAATTAAGTAATCTGTAAAAAAAACGAGAGTGACCTCCAGAAGAAGTTTTAAGAATCAACCTTACAAATAGCCAATTTGGACTTTTGACTGAAAAATATACATGTAGTTAGTGGGTAAATAGTATAAGTATATGTAATACAAGCCCTTAATGAGTGCGTCCACCTGTTGTGTAGAGGCGTGATTTGGCGACGTCTGAGGCATGCGTCGCGACTTGGCAATGATATAAACGAACGAAAAATACCCGCCTGTCTTGTTGCCATCTCGTCTGTTTCAAAAAACATTTCAAAAACTTCAGATAATGTTGTTTTTAAATATTGTTGTAGTAAAATTTTATAGAGATTTCTCTTCCTCTTACACAAAATTCCTAATCAGCTGATAATGTTTACTTTTTTAGTTTTCATTTTGGTTTCACAAGTAACAAGTTTTGGCATGCGTATCATATGATGTTGCGTCGTATCTGTTGTGATTCTGACCAAAATAAACAACATTTTATTTATCACTAGCTGACCCGGCGAACTTTGTTCCGCCTTAATGGCAATAAATAAGCAGACTTTTTTTTTTAATTTCGAACGGGATAAAAAGTATCCTATGTCCGTCTCCTGGCTCTAAACTACCTCCCTGACAATTTTCAGCTAAATCGGTTCAGCCGTTCTTGAGTTATAAGCGAAGTAACTAACACGACTTTCTTTTATATATATAGATATAAAGGCAATCTACAATCAACGATAATTTTCCTCATTTTATGATATGATGACTAATAAAGTACCTAATGTATTGTTCATGTCCACAATATTTAGTGATATCAATGCATTCCTCTATTGTTGCACTGTTTATGCTTCGCGGTCTCAGCCAGTGTTGCATAGTTCACACACTAATTATGGATAGACTAATATTTTAATTGGTTTATTTAATACCGCACATTATATACCACTGTCTGGCCACGTGAAAAACAAGTCACCCAGTCCAGAGATTAGCAAACATAATTACTAACAAAAACTATTTATTATAAGAAATAATTACGATAATAAAGCTGTAGACAATAAGCGTAATACGACCGTAAATAATTCATCTGTAGAGTTAGCATGATTTGGCATTTCGATTACAAGTTAAATATTATTGCAAGTCACGATAACACGCAAAATCATCGCGCTCAGTAATCAATTATATTATTACCGCACCAATCTTGCTTGCCATTTTTTATGGGTTACAAAGTAGCAGTAACGTAAAATGACACGTACGTACGCACGTTATTATTTCACGTTTAAAATACGGTTCCCTTTAATCTGTGTTGTGATGTATGTATAGGTATGGTTTTTTAAGAAGCCTTTTAGCCTTTTTCAATTTGGTGAATCTTTGCTACCTTGGCCTGTTGTTTATATCCAGTACCCGAATTTTTGTACACTAGATCACGGATCTATAAATTTATAGTCTATGCACTAGACCATGTGGGTTCTTCTTGTTTTAAAGTCATTATAGAACTGTAGGTTCTAAAGAGAGCACAGATATAGATTAGAGAAAGAGAGGCTGTTTTATCAATGTCACAAACTGTTAAATTACTTTATTGAGCAGATACTGCCCACAGCTCAAACAATGTAATAAATATGCTAATGTCTTACTGACGTCATAGTCTACTATGTTAACTTGTACAATAAAGTAATTACATAACTTAATTTGCATGGTTATTTCGATATAATTTTACTGTAATAGTTTTCCAATACGAATTGAATCTTATAATTATTGTTTTAATTTCCCAAACGCTTACCGTAGGGAATGTGTACTAACTATATGCAACGAACGGGAAGAGGGAATCAATGCCGCCACTTCGGCATTTCGATTGATAAACTGTTATCGATTTCAAAGCAACTAATATGTAATTTACACTTCGATTAGTGTAAATTACAACCTGAACCTAATTTGAATTGGGTATCAACTATCCAATTTAGATGTGATCGTGCACTAAATTGACCCAATCAGCCCTCTACCCACACAGAGTAACTATTCAATTTCGCGATCATAAAGTAGCTGCGTACAAAGAGACGAAAACCTTTTCTGAGGAAGCTGTCTGTTATTTTGATGAGAATGAATTCGGAAAACGCTCCTTTTCCTTTCGTTTCAATCTAATGTCCATTGCTAGACAAAAACCAATTAGTAGATTTCCCCAACGACCTTTAAAAGGTTGCAGAAAGTCGCTGGATGCAAGCCGCTGCCAACTGGCCAATGGGGGAGGCTTATGTTCAGCAGTGGATGTCCTGTGACAGAAATGATGATGATGAAAGTGTAAATACAGTATCTATACTCCCACTCCTTTTATGTTTAAAAAAAAGGCCTGCTCTATCTAAATGTGCTCACTCATTGGGAGCATTCACGTATTATGTAACACTAGCTTTCCGCCCGCGGCTTCGCCCGCGTGGAATTTTGTCTGTCACAGAAAAACTTTATCGCGCGCGTCCCTGTTTCAAAAACCGGGATAAAAACTATCCTATGTTCTTTCCCGGGACTCAAATTATCTCTATGCCAAATTACATCAAAATCGGTAGCGAGGTTTAAGCGGGAAAGCGTAACAGACAGACAGACAGACAGAGTTACTTTCGCATTTATAATATTAGTTGGGATTACACTTCAACTTTGAGCACCGACCTCACTGATGTAATGCTTGAATTTGTAACGCAAAGCTACACGCGAATTTATCTTAACATTGCATCATTACCATGGGTATTAACTAACTGATTGTCATCCGCAGATCGTGCAAGACCTGCTGGGCAGCATCCTGATGATCCTGGTGACGGTGGGCTACCGCACCAAGCTGTCGGCGCTCATGTTGGTGCTGGTGCTGACGGTGCTGAACCTCTACCACAACGCCTGGTGGAGCGTGCCTTCCTACAAGCCGCTCCGCGACTTCCTCAAATATGACTTCTTCCAGGTACGGTCCAGTTTCAAATGGAATTTATTGTAGCGGAGTTTTGGGCTGACACTGTGTTCGCGCTAAGTTTGCCGTTCCATGGAATGCGCGTCCCCTCCCCCAACCGCGATTAAACGCAATTAATGTGTCTTATTTTACGCAAATACACAATTTTTATCAATAACTAGCTGACCCGGCGAACTTTGTTCCGCCTAAATGGCAATAAATAAGCAGACTTTTTTTATTTCGAACGGGATAAAAAGTATCCTATGTCCTTCTCCTGGCTCTAAACTACCTCCCTGACAATTTTCAGCTAAATCGGTTCAACCGTTCTTGAGTTATAAGTGGAGTAACTAACACGACTTTCTTTTATAGTATATATGTTACGGCTAAAGATAGNAACTAATCGCAATATTTTCTCAATTAACTATTTAGACGACGAAATTGCCTAACTATTTATGCCTATAACATATTTGTAGTATTACTGGTTAATGATTGTAACGAGTTGAAAAAGTACTGTTTTTGCGCCAAACGGCGTAAACGCTCTTAAGTTTATGTTCACACCTATCTTTAGCCGTAACATATATAGATAATAAATAAAACATATTTCAAATATAAATAGTTTCTTAGATGTAGTAGTAGATGCTTCCCTTCGAGTGAGATCATAATCGCCAGCGGCAAACTTAAAGCGAACGGATTGTAGGTTTGTTGTCGACACGACAAGAAAAAGGGTGCTTTGGGATGCGATGCGTCCGATGTTCGTTTATGCGGGTTGTAGGCCAAGAGCTAAATTTAAATTAAGATTCGGGCTACACGCGTTGGTTTGGCCGAACCTTTAGCTAAGCTCGCATAGCTGTCGCAGTTTTTCATAGTTGTGTGCAAAATGCAAACTATCTAGACAATAGAAATCTGTGTCTGCTGCATACCATTCTTTGAATAAAAAGATATCGGCCCTAAACAGACGCCAATATTTTTACATTCTTTTCAGTCAGCTTCTATCCGTGGCTATGACCGTGTGGTTTTCAATAAGTTATATAATATAGCCTCTTATAATATTTTTCTGATGTATAAGATGGCTGTCCTGTTATAATGTATTTTGTGTCATAATCCGTCTAGCTTATTTTGCTGAAGTAGTAACCGTCCATCCAACTGTATAATAAACATTTGCAAATTACCATTAAATGTTACCAAACACCAATCTATTTATAACTAGCTTTCCGCTCGCGGCTTCGCGCGCGTGGACTACATTATCTACATATTTTATGGAACTCTATTTTTTCCAAAATAAAATTTAGCCTATGTTACTCGTGGATAATGTAGCTTTCGAATGGTGAAAGAATTTTTAAAAACGGTCCAGTATTTTTTGAGCCTATTCATTACAACCAACCAAACAAACAAAGTTTTCCTCTTTATAATATTAGTGTATTTAATAAAACCTATTTTTGTTTCCAGACGTTATCAGTGATCGGCGGGCTGCTCATGATAGTGTACTTGGGCCCGGGCGGCGTGAGCATGGACGAGCACAAGAAACGGTGGTAACCGCCGCGCGCGCTGTGAGTCGGACTAGTCGGCGACAGAATGGGCTAGTTGCCTCAAAAAAATTTTTTAGTCCGTAATGTTTAATATCAAAAAATATTGGACACATATATTTTTATTTGTCAACTAGCTGACCCGGCGAACTTCGTACCGCCTTAGCGTAGAGATTTTCTTAATATTTTTTTCCGTAAGAACCATCCTTGGACTTCCACAAACATTTAAAAAAAAGAATTATCGAAATCGGTTCAGCCGTTCACACGTGATGCCGTGACAACGCGAAACGGGTTTCATTTTTATATATATAGATCTAACAAATAATTACATAGTTATGGTGCGTTGAAGTTGCGCACGACGTCACAACGTGCGGCATTTTTAAGCAAGCGTTGACGTCACGGGCCTCTTCTTATGAACTTTGGGGCGCTTTATCTCTTTAAAGGACAATGACCAAAAGTGGTCCAAATGTCCACCACTAATGAGACCTATATTGGCTTAAAGTCCATTAAATAGAGAATAACTTTCAGTATGGGACGAAAAAAAAATAAGCTGTCAGTAAAAAGTTATGACTGTATGAAAAATTGTAGTAGTTTACGCGCTAATCTCAGGAACTACTCGTCCGATTTGAAAAATTATTGTTGTTATGGATAGCTCATTTCTCAAGGATGGTTTCAGGTTACATAACATCACCCTACAACCAGTAGGGGTGGAGCAGTAAAGATAAATGTTGTAAAATGGGAAACCACCCGACATTAATGACCAGAATAGAAAGGTACATAGTATGTACCTTTCATAGGGCACTAACATACTAGACATCCAAACTAAGCCTTGCGGCCGAGGAAGTCCCCGAATTTCATGGATGTCCGTAGTAAACAGGGACCTTAAAGAAGTCCAAGTAAACACTGAGACAACCCAGAACCATGCCGCCTGTGGAGACATGTCTTTTTTTTTCTTTTAGCGAGAACCTAACACGGCACACTAAGCGACATGACATAACATGCATAGATAAGTCCAAAATGTGCGATGGATAGAATGATATCAAGAACATTTTTCGGATGAAAAGGTAAAAAACATGACTTTTCATTCAGTTATAACTTTTTACTGACAGCATATTTTTGATTGCGGTTTGGTTATAATGAATCAGTATTTAGTAGACTATTTTACTACATAGGTCTCGTTAGTGGTGGACATTTGGACCACACTCCATACATTTTTGGTCATTGTCCTTTTCATTAGTTTGAAAAAGTGAAAAATACGTGTAGAGTATTTTTTGATAAGTTAACTGACGGACTAATTAAAACTCTTGCTTTTTGACCCAGGCAACATCCCCATTGCAATCACTGCACCGTTCCTCCGACAATGAACTGGCCGAGACGCGTTCATATGGCACCTTGTTGTTAAGGCGGCGGTACACATGCCTGTATGCTTACCATTAGTTTACGTAGGTGTGCTCGCTAGCGAGTGCGTCAAATCTATGAAGATTTTAGTCCTTAAAAGTAGCCGCTAGGGGCGCTGTACAATTTGTCATACATTTCATGTCTTTTTTACGCAGTACACCTAACGTAAACTCTTGGTAAGCACACAGCAACTGCACGTGCTAAAATTGTCATGTGTGTACGCTAACTGGCATGCTTGTATCTGGCAAGCGAGTAAATCGCACAGTATTTGATTTTAATTTTTTTATGATGGAAATACAGGCATGCAGTTGCGCTAGTATGCCATTCATAAGCTACAAGCTACAGTTTTACAGGCATGTGTATCGCCGCCTTTACACGGTTCTATTAACCCAGCGTGGTTCACCAAATCGCAGGACGATGCTCACCTATTATTAAAAAATATTAATAAAACATTTTTACTTGATGTCCTCGTCTTATAAAGTTACTCGGTTTAACGAGTTATTAAATTTGATAGAACTTATAATGTGCTGTATGAACGAGCTGTTAAAAATTCAAAGATTATAACTATTTTGATGTTTTATAATGCCATTCCTGATATTATGCTGGTGTAAACAGCCAAGCGGGATACTTGCATAATGTTGGCCGAATTTTATTTAGAAAATAAGTCTGTTTAGGAAACATTGAATGTTTTATGACTAGATGTGATTTCCATTTTGTAATATGACGTATTTTAAATCGATTTACAGTTGACAAAATTAACAGTAACCAATCTAGATCTTTATCTACTGCCAATATTAAAGCAACCACCTTTATCGTAATTTACTATCACAATAATAAAGGTTTTACGTTACTTTAATCTGAATGTTATTAATTATACAATAACGTTTATCAATATGACTTGAATTACGTCAATTCTAAGACTGTATTGGTATATTGTAATAACAATAATTTCAATGGCTGTAAGTTAATAGGCCGGTTTAACGTCGATTTAGGTTCTGATAAATTGTTACAGGTGTGTTTACATTTGAATTTTTTTGTATGTCTTCGATGATACATTTCGTTACACCTTTTATACTCGGCTTTTTTCTATCTATATTATTCATGTGACAGTAATTGTGAATTCTGACGCTCTATAATTATTATTACGTGTCGTGCAACATTAAAATCGAGGCGGATTTGAAATTGTGTCGCGAGTGAGATCGGCGCCCTAGACAATATCAGACAACCAGAGCACCGACCCATAGTTGCAGTGCGAAGGTGGAGGCGCACTTTAGTTGGATAGTGCAGGATCAGCTCAACTTTTAACGACTACTTTCTTCGCTACGCTCCTCGAGTGCGCCTGCACCTTTAATCTATTTTCAAGTCGGACCGTGTCCAGAGCGTTTTAGTATAGAAAAAATCATAGCAAAATAAGGTACAATTCTGTACGAACTACAAATGGTTTCAGGTAAAAACTTCACAATAAACAAAGTTCGGTCGGGGCACTGTTTAACTTGAATATAGCATAATTTTACTTCCACCACACATAGGAGTGATATTTTCGTAGAGGAATGTTATTATATTCGCATGTAAGTGTATGTTCTGTGACTGGGCCGCCTGCCGCGCCTCGCGTGATGACAAGCGCCGCGGCAGACGGCTTTTGTTTTTTATGATGTTGTAAACGTTTCATTCCGAATTGTTTTTTCTACCTATTGTGATGTCAATGTAAATATAGCATTTTGTACTTATTGACTGAGAACCTGCCGATTGTGGGAATCCCTGTAATGGACCTAATGTTGTTAATGAACTGGATTAAATTTTCTTTGATACTTATGACATTACGTAACCTGGCATCACGATTGTATATACTTCTCTAAATCTATAATATTTACATGCATAAGTCATTTCCTTTCTACATTATGGAAGTATTTAAAAGACAAGAATATTTTTATAGTATTTTTTATTTATTTAATTTGGCCATAGAAGTTGGATTCCTAAGTAAAACAATTTGTTCCGAATAAATTTTACATAATATTGATGTTATGTTTTATTTTTTCACCTTATAATGTTTATGTGCCTATGAATCTCTGATCAATGACTTCGAGTTTAAATCGGGTAATAAAGGAGAAATAACTTGATAAAACATTTATTTGTAAATAATTAAATAAAACAACTACTAGTGTAAAATTGTGCAGTCCTACTGTTCTTTCGCTTTTGCTTGTTCATTATCCTTATCTTCTATGTACTTGAACACTTTATTCGCTAGATGCCGGTACTTCTCAGCGTGTATGCTATCGGGGAGGGCATATATGGCTGGCTTCCCGCTGTTGATGCAGTCCGACATGTTTTGATCCACTTCGAAGCTCTCAATTATTTCTAGGCCCATTTGGTCAGCGCTCTTCTTCGTCTCGTTACCGAACACGAAGTTCTTTGTGCCGCACTTGGTGCATATCGCGTGCGACATATTTTCGACCATGCCTATTAGGGGCACCTTTAGTTTCTCAAACATGTTCACGCCTCGTTTGGTGACTTGTAGGGCGGCCGATTGCGGTGTAGTTACGACAAGCGCTCCTAGAAATAAAAATAAATGTTGTGTCTTTATTGCAGTCGGAAATGCTACGGTTCGTAGATACAATTTAGCGTAAACTGTCCATAAAAGTATCAAATGTATCTAAATATAGTAGGAAAATCTTTCACAACCTTGATAGAGAACTTTGAACAAACTCGTCATTTAGCAATGAACACTTAACTACAAAGACCTTGTAAGCAAAAATGTACTTCCTACAATTGTTCGTTAATGAAACCAATCCAATCTACCTACTATATCGTCCACGTTGGTTGCGCACGTGTTGCAGATTTGATTTCAAAAGAAAGTGAATTGATTTTCGGTAACGGTAAAACTGGTTTTTATAATGGAGAGCGAGTCATAATGACCGGTATAGGTCAAGGTTTGCATCGTTACATAGATTAGTGAATTTAAAAATGAATGACTAATGGTGGGTCTACTTAGTAGCTGGATTTATGAGGCTATGGTGCACAAACTAACATTACCCACGACGCGTCGTACATATTGACAAATGTACTGGTTGTTTTCTGTGGTATATTTGCTACACTGTCCCAAGAGCTCTTGCTCATCGGCCTCAGCAGCACAGATCATTGACATTAAGCTTTTTCAGTAGTTGCTGAGGACCTACCTACCATCTACCTTAAGGAAAAGTTTATTTATTTAGATATGACTATACCGCCGGGGAGCCGGGGTGGCACAGCCCCCTATGATGTTGGGCTACTGATTTGAAGATGATAGTTGATAGCACAAACTCATTAGCTATAATACTAACATGGCACATCAGGTTCCCAGGATCCGCCTGAAAAAGAACCCTAGATACGCTAATCGTCGGCTTCCAAAATACTTACCGTCAATAGGCAAGTTCTGCGCCAGGGATAAGTGCGTGTCGCCAGTCCCAGGCGGCGTGTCCACTATGAGGCAGTCGAGCGGGCCCCACGCCACGTGCCGCGTCAGTCTCTCCAGCGCTTGCATCACCATCAGACCGCGCCACACTACCGCGTTCTCGCCCGATACTAGCAGGCCCATTGACATACTACAAATAAAAAAATGAAGATTATGGATAGGTTAATTAGTAGAACCATTGTCATGCTAGAAAGAAATGAAGATTACAAGGATGGAATGGGACTTTCTAAGTGCCTCCCCTAGAGCCTAAGGCCATGTCCAGATGACGCGTTTTGAATCGCGCGATTAAGATGTTAGGTGAAACGCGTGACTGCATGTGGACAGAATGTATGAACCTCTCAGTGAGGTACTACTATCGCGCGATTCGAAACTCGCGAGTAAAAACGCGTCATCTGGACAGGCTCTAAAGCAAGCTTCAAGATTACAAAGATGCAACTTGTGCTTTCTAAAGCCTCTTCACAAATAGAAGTCCAAACTTTGTTTATTGGGGGTTGTGCTACATACTTTATACTTTAAAAGAAAGGTAAACATGGATTGTACATCAGCAAAAAGCTTAAAAAGTACATGGTACTATCATCAAGAAAATCATACCACAGCAATTTAAATCGTTCATAACGCATATTAAGTATTAATGAAAATTCATTGGTAAATCATAGATGAAAGAATATTCAACTCACCATTTGACACCATAATTCAATAGTGGCTCTATGAGGTTATCGTCGTTGAGCATGGGCTCCCCACTGATGTTCATCATGAGAGGCACGGACGGGCCGAAGACGTCGGCGTCTAGCAGCCCTATCTCTTTGTCGGGCTCTATCACCTTCATTGCACATGCGAGATTCACTGCAAGAGATTTACAATAACATTATTAAAATTTGCTATAAGTAATAAGTAAGTAGGTTCTTTATTCTGTATGGAAACAAGGTTACAGAAAGATCTCTATAATATTTACATGCATGCAAGAAGGTTACACCAGTAGGATGGTGTATTCCAGGGGTAGCTAACCGGTCGATCGCGAATATTATCCACTCGATCGTGGCAAGGCAAAAAATACCACATGATTGTGTAAACAATGCTGTTTCATTTAAGATTTCAAGAAGTATGGAAATGATAGATTGCCCAGGGTTTCGTTAGTAAACAGTACATCTTATGTCTAATCAAGTTGGCCACCCCTGGTGTATTCCTTTCTATAGTATTGTATGTTATTGCTATTGTGTTGGAAATAGATTTAATTTTCATCACAGATCCTAGAACTAGAAAGTTTGATGATCAAATAATATTTTTTATTATTTCACAAAGTATCATATGTTAAGAAGAGTTATTAACACTTATCAAACTTGCTTATTTAAAAAAATGTTTACAGAGACTTTATCAGTGGAGGCAAAAGTCATGAGAAATCTTCATTACCTTCTCACTGACTCACATTATATTATAGGCCAGTAGAATTAAACACAAAAATTGATTAAATCGGAAATAATTCCTACAAAAGATTTTTTTGCTTTAATGGCTTCATTGGTTGCCCATAAAGACTCTCCTAAGTTTTCGACTTCGACGGAGTTGTGCTTAAGTGGTGGGGGCCCCCGAAAGCGGCGTTTTTTCGGTTTTCCGGTTATACCGCGTAAAGGGCTTACCCTATCGAAAAGTGGTCTTCATGACGGTTAAAGGGCACTTAATTCTGCATTGAATAAGACTAAATTCATATGTTTTGGACAAACCGTTCTCGCGCTAAAGTTCGGCAAAGTAGAAAATATACGTATAATTAATGACCCTCTCCACATCCAATGGCTTGTTACCCACATGCTTCCAAGCCTTGTAAAGGGTCGCCTTAACCAGTGTAACCCTAGCAAGGCTCACGAGTTTGATTCGCTTATTCTTGTTCATCCTAGCCGTTCCTTAACTGCGGTTGCTGCACCTCTTCCTGACACTCTCCTGAACGACTCTGTGTTACCTAATGTGGCTGCCTCTCTTCCTTGTACCCTCCTGTACGATTGCATTGCTTAGCTATATGCCTGGTCCAAGGTTCGACGCCACAAAATCAACTTTGTACGCGTGAAAATAGTTTAAATACTATTTTCCGTGCTTGCAACATTTTTCTTTACTGCTTCGCCTCTATAAGTCGTAGAGTGATTGTATATATCCTATAGCCTTCCTCAATGTATGAGCTATTCAACACAAAAATAATGATTTCAATCAAACTAGTAATTCTTAAGATTAGCGCGTTCAAACAAACAAACAAAAAACTCTTCAGCGTTTTAATATGAACTTGTTGTTGTTGATTTTTGGCGTCGAACCTTAGACCAGGCATACGGCTAGGCAACGTAGTCATGCAGGAGGATACAAGGAAGAGGGGCAGCCACAGTAGGTAACACAGAGTCGTTCAGGTGAGTGCCAGGAAGAGGTGCAGCAACCGCAGTTAAGGAACGGCTGGGACGAACAAGGATAGGCGCATCAAGCTCGTAAGCCTTCATAGGGTTACACTGGTTGAGGTGGCCCTTTTCAAGACTTGGAAGCCTGTGGGTAACAAACCATTGGACGTGGAGAGGGTCATTAATTATACGTATATTTTCTACTTTGCCGAACTTTAGCGCGAGAACGGTTTGTCCAAAACATATGAATTTGGTCTTATTCAATGCAGGATTAAGTGCCCTTCAACCGTCATGAAGACCACTTTTTGATAGGGTAAGTCCTTTACGCGGTATAACCGGAAAACCGAAAAAATGCCTCTTTCGGGGGCCCCCACCACTTAAGCACAACTCCGTCGAAGTCGAAAACTTAGGAGAATCTTAATGGGCAACCAATGAAGCCATTAAAACAATAAAATCTTTTGTAGGAATTATTTCCGATTTAAAAGCTAATTCTACTGGACTATTAAGCTATACAAGGCAATTAAAAACATATTTACAGTCTGAGAGGTAACATGTTATCTGGAAGTATATTATACATCATAATTTTATTCGGACTAGTGTGCAGTTGAGGCTAATTCTGTACCCAGTTAATGTTCACTTTTTAATGTAGAAAGCATGCTCCTGATAATCACATCCAGAGACTGCAGATCTACGATGAAGCGAGCTTGTCCAGAACATGCCTATACTCGTGCATTGAAAGCCTTAGGATTGTGTAATATCATGAACACAGACAGGGTGACAGACAGGCAGGTATACATTTACAGCTGTCAGTCAAATTTTTTAAGGGGTCTAAAACAAACCAGCTGTGGTGGTCTTGCCCACTCCTCCTTTGCCTGAAGCCACGAGGATGATGCATTTGACTCCAGGCAGGGGCTTGCGCTCCGGTAGCCCACGGCCCATTACTTTGGCTCGGTGTTCTGTGAGATCATCTTTTGTGTGCTTTAGCCTGACTGCAGAACTGCATGTAATTAACTGAAAATGATATCAAAACATTTTAAAATCTGGTAAAAGAAAGATCATAGGTGAATCGATAAACAATGTTTATTTACTTACAGGGTTAACACATGAGATCAGTAACTTCCCAGTAGATCCATGGAACACTTTGTGCAAAAGCATTGTAACATTTATCTGTAACGCTACTTACAAGGCAAAGACTTCAGCGATTATTTAAATAAAATTCATATAAATTCGAACTAAAATGCGCACACAATTTCAATTAAATTTGACACTAATGACAGTTCACAGAAATGACATTTTGTTTTTACCAAATTGCGTAATTGGCACGTAATGACCCTGCCAAAAGCCTGCATTTATACATCTTAATCTACAATACGAATATTGTTTGAGTTGACTGTTGAATGAGAAGAAAAGAGATTCGAACAGTGAAAGTTCGGGCAATCATGACAAGCAAAGTACCGTGTAAGTCGAAGTCGCGCAGCGAAAGTTGAGGCGAACACGTATTGATGTATTCACATATGTATTGGTCGCGCAACGACAGTTGAACTTGAAGCTATCACACTAGAAACAAAATATCTGTAAAATGTTCTTGTGTGATGACCTCAACTCTCGTTCCGCTACCAATGAGTACTTACGGAAGTGAGAATTTCTGTCTTCATAATTGGCTAAAATGCTAGATGTCAGTCACCCTCACCAACTTGTCAGCTGTTTCCGTGATAAGAAAAAAACAACTGTCATCTGTCCGGTGCGACATGTCTGTATTTTTCTGCGACATATTTTCGAATATTTTTTCGAATTTTCTACGCAAAAGGGTGAACTAATTTCGATGTGAAAATGGCTATTTGTTTGCGAACACTATCTCATAAAATCTTGCCTATAAATGGGATAGTTTCTACTAAGAATCACTCTAATCGTCTAACCCGAAAAATACCACTTCGAACACAATTTCTCGAAGAAGTTAGTATACTCTTCCATTTTCGTATTATTAGTGAATTAACTCTCTTTACAAGCATGTTATATAAACAATTTAACTTTAAGAGCCCTAATTTACCATTTTTGTACCTTGACATTGAACTAATTAGAGGTTCGATGCGGATCACGGATTGTTCACAGTTCACGTGTTTCAGACGTATTTCCGATATCTTGCTCCTAATAAATTATCTATAGGAGGCCAAATTATTGCTGTGGGCTGATAAATAAAGCGAGTAATTGAATTTATTTTCCAGTGTCTTACCCGGCGTCGTATTTCTAGCTACCAACTGGCGCCGAAATGCACTACCGAACACAACATTGACGATTTATACATCAACGAGCTACTGTCTTCGACGGCGAAGTCGAGAAGTAGCATTGCCGAAGATGTAGATGCTTTCAGGGCAGAAGCCAGATGTTTGGACAGCTACAACTATCACGATAGTATCCAGATGAAACCTTTGGGTTTGACCTCTGATGACTACGTGGAGCAAAGAATGACCCCCGCCGTTATGAACAGATATCCATACACTTGTATCAGTAGTGTTGACTTCACAAAATATAGTAATGAGAGTGAGGTAACTGTCTTTCTATGTGTTAATCAAATTACATATAAAAATTACTTAGCTGCTTCTGTAAATTGTAAAAAAGGTTTAACTTTACCAAAGTATTAATAATTATTGTTTAATTGCTATGTAATTCAATAAGTTCTTCAATATAATTATTTTAGAATCTGGAGCCGACATGTCTGTCAGAATTCGAGAGGGATGCGATAGCATACTGCACAGGTCCGGTGGTGCCATCCCCATCCCAGCCATCTGAGCTCAACTCCGAGGGAAGGCCCAGTGAGGAGCAGCTAATGAAAGTATTCCATGTTCTCTCAAAGACGGTAAATAATTTTATATCTTATTTTATACTACAGAATGATTCATTTTGTTTGTAAAGAGTTATAATTTGATGGTGTAAATTTAATTTCAGATGCCAGAACTGTTCATTAAGCCTCTAGACTACTCCATCTACCACCCAAATCTTGTGTTTGTGAACAACATTAGAGGAATCACCACTATGTAAGTTACATAACCCTTAGGGCCATTAGGTCACTTGTATGTGTAGTTATTTAATTTTTAGCGTTAAGAGTTGCATCTCAAATTAATTTGAAAATTATAAATAGCTGCCTTAGGCAGTAATTGAACCGTCAACCTTTGGCTTGCCAGGCAACTGTTCTTAAAACTGAGCTACTTAGACACTGGATGAACCCATCGAAATTTTCAAGTTTCATCAATGTTGGTAAGCGAAAGGTTGTGGATTCAATTTCTGCCTTAGGCAGTTAAATTTTTTCAACTTATTTATAATTTTCAAATCATTTGTATGAGTGTTGATAAGGTTTCTTGTTCAATAGATTTCACTTAAGTCATTCATAAAGTTAGGAACAAGTCATGATTTAAATCCCTAGTTACCTTATCCACATAACACATTAAATATTGTTTTTTCATTGCAGAGGTTTGTTCCACTATGTCAAGCAGATTGCCCTGTTACGTACTGTGGGGCACCTCAAATTTGCTTATGTAAAGTTAGAAGTCATGAAGATAACAGCACATCCAGAGGATTCATCAATCAGGTAGGTTGTTCTTGTAAAAGCACTTTTGAAAATAATAAGTGAGTTTTATACGATTTTACTTAATTTTGGGTTTACCAGCAAATCTTTTTAATCATGGTTAAACGTTTTCTAGATTAAGGTGGCGCATTCGAGGCATATCTGGATTTAAAGTTTTCTTCATGTTTTGGAAGTACAAACTGTGGAATCTGAAGGAAGCGTTCAAAGATCAGGAACTGTAAGTATTTAGTTTTATTCTGTTTCCTGAAGAAAAAAGACTGGTTAATCAATTATTTTAATAATGTAGTACTTGTAACAGTATCCTGAACATAATTTATTTGAATTTTCAGGTGGTATGATGGCTTCTCTACATTCTATGTAGGCGCCGATGGTTTGATACAGAAACACATCGCTGACAAGGTAAAACACATGCCACAACTTTCATAATGTGCTTTATTTTCCTGTACCTACTTACTTATTTATACCAATTACATAATTATACTTATTTATTATGTACTTTATTAGTTCATTGAGTCATCAAATTCAATAAATTGGGTGTCCCAAAATTTGCACGTCATTAGTCTGTATAAAGAATAAGTCCTCTGAAATCTGTTGCCTACATACTGATCATGGAATTGGTTTTGCAGGTTATGCCAGACCAGGACACCATAATCGACGACGAGGAGAAGGCGCCTATTGCGGCGAAGATAGCTCTGCTCATCGGGCTGCTGCCTCGGAACTACTTGTCCGACGTGGCGCCCTATTTCAGCACGTCATCTGGCACCGCCGACGCCACCCCGCTGCCCTTCAAGGCTCTAGAGTAGCAGAACAACCGATGCGCGGGTTACAGCTGGGTTACATGATTGAACAAATGCTATCGTTATTTGATTACAATAAAATCACGCGCTTTTTTAAATAACATTATCGTAAGACTAATAAAACACCAAAAAGAAATTCCACCAGATATTTGGTCAACAATATTAGTTCTAGTAAATTGGGTAATGTGATTTGTAACGATTTAATAGATATCAAGAGCTAACGCCGGTTTCAAAGCCCGCGCTAAGGTTGCTGTAGCCATGTGAACTAAGAGTTGATGAGGGCTTGTATTACAGACTAAAATGGATTTAAAGTGTGTCTTGCACCTTAATTGAAATAATATAACAACTGAGGAATGTTATGTAATATTCGCCCAAGTCTGAGCCCCGATTACGGTAATTTTTAACGTCAACAATCCAGACACGCTTCTCGATTCTGCGATACGATTGGTCGTTCAACAGCGTACGTCAGCTGTTTTGACCAATCGTATCGCAGAATCAGAAACGCGTCTGGATTGTAGACGTTATACAAGTTACCGTAATCGGGGCTCAGGACTAGATAGAAAATCTTTGATGGTGCACGGTAAATGTGCGAGTCTTCGCGGTTTTTATGCTAACGACCCAATTTTGTAGATCAGTCTGTAAATATACTAAAATGTATACTTTAATCATACTTGTTGGAAGTAACTTCAAAATACTTTGTGAAGAACAACAGAAAATGACTATGAAATCGCATCATACAAGATTTACATTAAAACCTATGTAATATCACTAATACGCAACATCAATTTTGATATGTATGTATTATTTATAAATTGTGTTAGTTACCGCTTGGGTTATTAAAATGAGATATTTTATTTGGCGCTTCACTTTGCTATTTCGTAAAGTGCTTTAATAGAGTGGTATTCATTAGACAAATGATTTATCTTGTATTAGTATGTATAGCACTGTATTTCGATACAATAAAACATTGTTAATAAATCTTCGTTTAATTTATATCTGCTGCTATCCCTATTCCAATGTAAACTATAGCTGTGACTATAGTTCTAACATTACGGCTTATCGTACGTACAGTGCTTGTGCCCCTAAAAGAGTGATGGAATGAATGCGAGCCAGGAACCAGGGTCACGATGTAGAGACCATATTATACTCTCTATGGAGACGCTTTACTTTAGCTTCCGCAAGCCAATTTGAACATTGACTGCCGCCAACTTACTGCTCTACAAGCTTAGTCTACAAGTAACTCGCGAGCAGCCTTGCATTATGCACTTGTGGCGAAATAACCTTGTGTCAGATCTTCACAGAAAAAAACAAAAATGCACTATGACAGCTCTGTGCCAGAGCCTCAATGAAAAAAAAACATTCTGCCATTTTCTTGGAGTGACACAGGGATTTGTTGTCAAAATATTTTCGAAGAAATATTTTGTTCACGACGATTTTTAGGTAATTTTAAATAAAAGCTTACACAAAGTGATGTTAAAAGTTACGCGACTGTTAAATAATTCACTAGTGTCATTCATATTCCATTGTTTATAATAATTTGTGTTCACTTTACTCTTTGTTGTAATCTCTCATCTTACAAAGAAATAGAGGTCTAGGATACGTAAACTGTTTTGTTCGTGTGATGTCATGACTACGGTGAGTTTATTAAATTATATTTTGTGAAGGTAACGGTATAGTTTAAATGTATGAAGTGTGTCGTGTTTCATCTCACAATGGGGTCATCGTTCGTGATAAATCGTCATCCGTAGGTTCACAATTGGTCGTAATTAGTTCGGCTGCACCGAAGGCGCCGTACGCGAGTGTAATTCAACAACTTATTGCCATGGACTACTGCCAAGTCGGTCGCTTCTCGCGTACTCATTGAGCCGAATGCACGGCGGCGCCGCTGAATATAATTCTTATTCGTTTTTCAATGTTCGATACATTTTTTATTCATCAGTCGCCGTGTGCTTATCGTGAGGCATCTATTTGTGTTGGATGATGTGTCTGTGTTAACAGTGATAAATGTATTCTTGTTTATGAAAATATTCTAAAAATAGTTGGAGGAATAACTTCTGTGTGTACCAACACAACTTTTAAATAAGGTGACATCATATTTACTACTGTGAGTATTATTAATTTATTGCTAATCAGTTGCAAGAAGTCTATTTTTGTATCATATCTTAATATGTCTCATTGCAAGACCATCAAGAGACAATTTCCTCTTTTTTATCTAACTGGCATATGGGCAGTGAGTACTGTTAGAAGACAAAAACATGTCAGTAAGAAAGTAGGCTAGCCAACAATTAGCAAGTTAAGGCCGGTGCTATGTGGGCTGACTTATGAATCACATATTATTAATACAGTTAATACTTCAAATAGTTTGTCTCTAGCTGTACTTGTGTACTCTTATTTTTTATGGAAATAATTTAAATAATAAATTTCAGCATAGAAAGCTGAAATTGAATCAGTAAGTTATAATTTAGATAGGTATGTTATCGTATTTAGTTATATTAAGTAATGTTAAAAGTTAACTGAAGTATGTTTCTTGATTCAGCAAAATAAAGCATCAATTGTTTAAATTCTTTACAATACAAATTCATAATTAATTAATTCTTTGCTTCCGTTATATGTGACCTGATTGATATGCTCTGTTTCAGACAATTGTTTACTGAAAAGTAACTTACAATACAAATGCAACTTAGAAAATGAATTTATAATAAATTGATCCAAAGACTAGTTACTCTACAAGCCTTACTACTATCAATATTTACCTACTTACAATTCATATAAATAGATACATACACTTACAAACTGCCTGCCAGGTAGCAAAATGTATTTTAATTAATACCCTATAGTATTGTAAACTCATTCAGAAATACCCAGCACAGTTCATTCATGATTCATTCAACTTTTTTTATTTAACATTTACATTTAGCTAGTAAGTGCTCGGTACGCACGCACCGCGATCTAATCAATGGTTTATGCCTACTTCAGTACCTCCAACATGCTATTCATTCACTGTTGAAACATATTTTACCACACAAGTCTCAGAATCAATATTTTTTCAACTCCATGTGAAGCAATGAACTTTCTGCTTAGATAATATTGTACTTATGATATGACGTCTTGTAATCTTTATTTAATGTGCGACTATTAACGCACATTTAATTTGCTAACTACATAAATGATTCATCATTCAAGATAAACCAGTAATAGATAAGGCAACCTAATTATTTTCCCTGCAACTTTGTGCATTTCTTGTTGTAAGTAGTAATTTCAATATTACGCGAAAATAGGGCTTCCAATTAAAGATAGGTTCCATTTCGTGATTTCTTGGCTATGCCCGTAAATTAGGTTTGGATCAGTAGTTGCATCACATCATGTACAGCTATTGATTACAAATGAGATAAGCGATTGTAGGTCGCCGTTGTAGTCCAGATGTTGATAGTAATATTTCAGAAAACCGAACAGTCGAATCATTGTTCTTTCCTATTCTAGGTGCTAACATAGACTGATAGAAGATTAGAAGCTGCATGCTGAAGAAATCAAGACTGATAGGAACTGAATGATGTCCTAAGATCGCGAGGATGTCGAAGGTGCTAAGGAAGTTGGGCGACGCGCTGCCGGACGAGCGGCCGCTGCTGTCTCTGCAGATCGTGGAAAGCGTGGCCAAGTGCCCGGCCGGGTACAAGCCCGTCAGCCGCACGTATGACGAGGACGCCGACGCGGGCCTGCTCCGGCAAACTGGCCTCTTCGGGAAGAAGCCCAGCCACTACATCTGCTTGTCCAAGTCCGAAGGTACGTCTTCTCCTTTTCTAGCTACTGTTCTCCGTGTTATTTAAAGAAGCACCGTGTCTTTGTGTCTACCGTAGCCCACACACAGCACTTCAACAAGGAATATTAAAAAAAAGCCTGTTTTCTTTCAAAATCAGACTGCAGCTCTAAGATTTTAGGACGCTAGATGGAAGGAAACTATTCGGTTACAAAGCGCACCTCGTAGTCCCAGGCTTCTGGCAAAAGACGTGAGTGACGTGATTTAACATCCTCGGCCAGAAGTTTGCGTGATTCTATTCCATCTGACCCGTTTTATAGCAAATCGTTGAACCTCAGGCGGCTATTAGGCGATTATGCACGCGGTATCCATAAATTCCGGATTGATACACGAATCATCGTGGTATTATGTAGATGTAGGTAATTCAGAACTTTCCTATATTCCATCATGTATCCATCAGTCTTAATTGATAGATTAGCATGACGTTTGCATGAGCGTGTAGCTATTGAACGCCCGCGGGAGTTATACCGGACCGGTCGCGGTATCTGAATTCATTTGAATTTTATTATCTATCGGCTAAACAAGATCCATTGCCATAGTTATGATAGTTAACCATTAAATCACATATTTATGCAATTTCGAATAAAATTCGGTTCAACTTCTGCACAGCATAGGTTTAACTTCAGTTACTAATTAATTAAAGGAAACTTAGTGCTGCATTCTAAATCACTCAAAATTAAAATTTTACGATAAACAAAGGACTAAACTAAACTACACCCCAGTTAATATTGTAGGAGAGGAGGGGTTCGTAAGATTCGCAAGGTGTTAAACGTAAAATTTATTTCATAACTATTGCACGACTAGGTCGAGGTTACAGTTAACTAGATTTTTTATAGTTTCAATGTCTGTAGCAGATCTACGAAAGGTTGTGTAATTCTCAAAGAGGCAATAAAAATTTTATTTGTGTGTAGGAACGTCAATGCTCCGACGTCCGGTAATACGAGTTTATGTATTTAGTGTTCGTGGAACTCATCCTACCAGAACCAGAGTCGCGGGTAGACGTACATATTTTATTCACAAGCGCTAAAATTTGTCTGCACAAAAGTGGTCCTTCGCTAAATTCGAAAGTTCTTACGACAGGGTCTCGCTGTCTTAGTGCTCAGTGCACCGACTCTCAGTACTTTGTCCTTTCCCTGCACGGCCAGACGAGTTTGAATCAATAGAGCTAGACGATAGACGAAGTGGGTTATGTTACAAGATAACCGCCGGGCCCCGGTGCCGGCCCTCGACAGACGGGACTTATCAACAGGTCAGGGACCTTCCGCTCAATGAAGCTGGTTTAATTAAACGACTTTCTTTTTTTAAACGTTTTTTGTTCTCGACGCCCGTGTAGGTTTCACTCGGAGATTTGAAGCACTCGATAAGGCAATAGTCAATCCATATGTTAATCGTTCGTATCGCGTGTATATGACGAATTACTGTTATAGAAATGGCGATAAAGCTGATAAACCAAATTGAAACTTGATGAATTGACAAAGAAATATGTGAAGATAAGTTTGGGTTCATGTTTGAAAATACCCGATGAGTCGAAGATCCGCTTTGGTCCAGTGACGTTGTTATTTGTGAATCGGATAACAAATACGAAAACATCGGGATTGGGGATTTCCCCAGTACTGATACGTTTTCCATACAGTTTAATACCTATCTATATTATGCGGCATTGGTTTTTGTTGCAAAAAGAAAACATGATTACTGAGTAAACACAATTAACAAGCAATGTGATTCCCAGGCTCTTATCAATGCCGTTTGAGTAGTAATCGTTTATTGTGTTACGAGTAGTTGAATTATCTAACTGGGCAAATACACTTTCGTCGAGGTCAACGCTTTGTATCAAAATGTCCATAGAACGAGTTCAAGAGAATAAAAAGTGCAGTTACGCTTACTTTCATTAGAGGCGAAGGTCGAATTTGTCGAGGGCTGTCAGTCACCGCAATTATAGCTCAAATATAAAAGCTAACCCACGTCGCAGCAGTCTTAAAACTTGTTCAGTACTGAATTGCATCAAGTGACATCCATTAAAATGTACACCCTAATGAATGAAATGTTTATATTAGTTTAATAAAGAAGAAGAAGAACTCTTAAACAATTGTGTCTCAAACATTTGTGTGTATGAACATATTTGTTTGTATTGGACTGGGTGTTTTCTATGTATAATAAGTATGTATTTACGAAAAAAAAAAAGTATTTAAGTATGTTTATATCCGTTGTCTAGTACCCATAGTACAAGCTTTGCTTAGTTTGGGATTAGAAGCGCAGTGTAAAATGTCCAAGGATATTTATTTATTTATTTATTTAAAGAGGAGAACGCTGTTGGATGTCGAAAGGAAAATCCTCTGAAAAATCTTTGGCTCTCGAAGCTGGAGGATACTCAGGTATGCTGAACTAGAAAGGCTCATGGTTATTCCCAACATACTCGGAAAATATAGGAGCATAGGCTTGACTCTGCCATGTTGAGAGGATGTGATCGGATCGAGTGCCAAAACAGCATAATTATCGCGAAATACTTTTAATTCTACGTGAATTATAAAATGTACGATAGGATAGCCTGTTTCAAGTTCAAATGAGCTGGCTGTTCTCGATGACCTGAGGATTGAGTGTGGCAACGGGATGGAATTATCCTCGCCTGTTAGCGCGGCTCTGGTCGCTGTGATTGTTGGTTGAGCAGACGCAATTTACAAACAATGCGCGGTCCGAGCTCCTGGCTCGTGTTGCTTCGGGCCAAAGTTCAGCGCGTGTTGACACAAAAATAAACTGTGTATCCAGTTCGTAAATAAACCATACAGTATCGATTACCGGTGAATGTTTACGCTAGTCGTTTCCATTCAGGAGCTCTTATGCCACAAATTAATAACAGTGAACAAGCGTTATCTTATTCATTTATCAGAAGGATATACGCCGGCTTATACAACCTTGACAAAACAAGTTTCCAGAATAAATTATCTAGAAATTTGGAGCTTATTATGGACAAAAAACACTGGGTTGCTTATCCAAAAAAAGGACAAGCCATTTCAACTTAAACCTACGTCTACAGAATATTTTCGACTTTATTCGATGCCGATAGCGAGATAAGAAGTAAAGTTTTGTACGCACAGCACATAAGGCATTATTCTATTCCACTGTTGAGTACATCTCATGTCTGTTTTACTGAGGAGTAAAAGGGCTCTCTGCCATGAGCGAGACGCCATTTCGGAGTGAGTTAGAGTGAAGAATAGAGCCAACGCTCTATAACCAACTTTTTATCCTTTCACCCCACCTTCCTTTTTAGCCAGGCAGGTTATAGCTGTATTATTACTTCCATCCATTCTCATCCCATGACTGGTTTATAGAGCTTTCTACCATGAGCAAGATGGATGGAATCTTGGCGTGAGTGAGAGTGACTAATGGAACCGAACGTAAACGCTCCAATAGCCAAATTAGCCTATCATCGTCTTCCACCAGTTCTTGAATGGAAGATTCTAGTAAAATGTCCTTCCAGGCGTGCCCGGCTACGTGATGGACGGCGTGGTGGTAGTAGGCGAGCGCGAGCCGGCGCCGGCCGGTTTCAGCGTGGCGGGCCGCGCGGGCAAGCGGCGCCTGTGCACGCGCGTGTCGCGGCCCGCCGCGCCGCACCGCGCGCCCGCCGTCACCGACGTCATCGTCTGCTCACGCATGCGCAGCGCGCCGCAGGGGTTCATACTGGCCGGGTGAGTGACGTCACCTTTTGTCCCTATGTCTGAGTGCTCCGCCTGGACATGAGCTCCCCTGGCCTACATGGAATAGACTTCGAACGCAGGTCGGCCGTAGTCACCTTCATAGAAACGCACCGAGCGCGGTTTGTATGTGAGCGCGCCAATATACGTATGCGGCGCGCACGCACACACTGACAAAATTCGGCGCAACCACGACTGGCTCGCCGCTAATCCCCGCTAAATTTTGTCAGTGTGTGCGTGCGCGCCGCATACGTGTAAACCGCGCTCGTGCGTTTCTATGAAGATGACCTACTCATTTGTATTTACTCTGGCCGTAGCAAGGACAATCTGTTCAATTTGGTGGGGATTCTTGGAGGGCTCAAACTTGGAGTGCAAGTGTGGTTTTGATCGCCAGTCGACGAAGCATATGATGACGTACCATGTGTGCCCAAACAACTGCACGCAGGAAGATTTAATGAAGGCTACTGATAACGCCACTCTTGTGGCGGAGTTTAGGGCTGACGCTGTGTAAGTTTGTTGTCGACACAACAAGAAGTGACGTCAGAGGCAAGAGCAGCACCAGGTGCTTCGTACGGGCACCTGTCCGAGTGACGTCAGAGGCTGCGAGCGGCGCCTGGCATCTTCATCTTCATACCACCTGCCCGAGTGTCATCAGCACTCAGCGAGTTTGGGCGAGACTATTCCCATCTCTTATTGCAACTCCTGTGTAGCAAGGATTGTAGATCCTTGACCGTCAAAAGGCTAAAAACATGAAATACTTTGACATTTTCAGCTCTCTCTGCAGCCACGCTAAGTTACACTTGTGCACTCATTCAACTCAAAGTCTAAACGCCACGTAGTCTTTATTTTGCGTAGGCCAGATCGATTAGTAGACTTCTTTTTTTACCAGTCTATCATGTGATGTCATCAATGTTGCTTTACAAGTTTACGTTGTTTAAACCAGCGCCGTGGCCTTCGTCACCGTGGGCCACGGCTTATTCTGAGTGGGTTCCCGTTGCAGTGGGCATCTTGTTGGTGAATGGGTGGCACTGCTCAGTTTACTCTTTTTTTTATTTTTTCTTCTTCCATTATTGTGCCACTGTCATGTCTTTGTAATTGCCTTTATTTGTGTGATGTCCATTGTAATAAATGTATCTTTCTTTCTTTCTTTCTTTCTAAACCCGTACCTCCTGTTGCAGCGAGATCAACGGCAAGATGGTTTGCTACAAGGTGAGCGGCGGCAGCGCGGATGTTTCCCCGGTCCACAATGAATACGAGAACCTTGTCACGCATCTCACGCCTGAGGCCAATAGGAGGTCAGTATTTAAAATATTTTTATTTCATGACATTTATACTTAGGCTAGGTTATTATTATTATTATTCTGTTTAATGGCTTCAATGGTGTGTATTTGAAGCACACTGGTTTCGCCAATGTCAAGTGTTTAACGAGACACGGTGGACAGTCAAAATTTGAAGATTGCCCGATGATAATTTAATTAATCCATTATTCATTGAGTTTTTTTTTTGTTAGTATCAACACCTAAAACATTAGGCTGGGTTACACAGCTTACTTTAACAAACGTCAAATATCTGTCAAATTCCAGACAAAAAGAACCGGTTATCCTTATAGTTATAGTTAAAGATAGGCCTTAGTCTCTCTACCAAGGTGGAGAGGGAGAAAGGATACACGAGGAAATTGGTTGAAATAACCAGCCAGCTTTGTCTCCCCACACCTTTCCTCATCACTATGGTGGAAACCAGGCATTCTATTAATATTTGAACAAAAGACAACAATTCATAATCGCCTACAGTACATTTTAAGAAACATCGCTGTGTCGCTATCAGCTGATTAAAACAAAGCCGACTGTTCTCGTTTCATCCAACGCAAAGCAATAAAAAGTTGTATTAAAATATAATGATAAAAGTTATTGACCTCATACTGAGTTAAGCAGCGGCTAATAGGCCAGTAGAATTAAACACAAAAATTGATTAAATCGGAAATTTTGGACAAACCGTTCTCGCGCTAAAGTTCGGCAAAGTAGAAAATATACGTATAATTAATGACCCTCTCCACGTCCAAGGCTTGTTACCCACATGCTTCCAAGCCTTGTAAAGGGTCGCCTTAACCAGTGTAACCCTAACAAGGCTCACGAGTTTGATTCGCTTATCCTTGTTCGTCCCAGCCGTTCCTTAACTGCGGTTGCTGCACCTCTTCCTGGCACTCTCCTGAACGACTCTGTGTTACCTAATGTGGCTGCCCCTCTTCCTTGTACCCTCCTGTACGATTTCATTGCTTAGCCATGTGCCTGGTCCAAGGTTCGACGCCACAAAATCAACTTCGTACGAGTGAAAATAGTTTAAATACTATTTCCCGTGCTTGCAACATTTTTCTTTACTGCTTCGCCTCTATTAGTCGTAGAGTGATTGTATATATCCTATAGCCTTCCTCAATGTATGAGCTATTCAACACAAAAATAATGATTTCAATCAAACTAGTAATTCTTAAGATTAGCGCGTTCAAACAAACAAACAAAAAACTCTTCAGCGTTTTAATATGAACTTGTTGTTGTTGATTTTTGGCGTCGAACCTTAGACCAGGCATACGGCTAGGCAACGTAGTCATGCAGGAGGATACAAGGAAGAGGGGCAGCCACAGTAGGTAACACAGAGTCGTTCAGGTGAGTGCCAGGAAGAGGTGCAGCAACCGCAGTTAAGGAACGGCTGGGACGAACAAGGATAGGCGCATCAAGCTCGTAAGCCTTGATAGGGTTACACTGGTTGAGGTGGCCCTTTTCAAGACTTGGAAGCCTGTGGGTAACAAACCATTGGACATGGAGAGGGTCATTAATTATACGTATATTTTCTACTTTGCCGAACTTTAGCGCGAGATCGGTTTGTCCAAAACATATGAATTTGGTCTTATTCAATGCAGGATTAAGTGCCCTTCAACCGTCATGAAGACCACTTTTTGATAGGGTAAGTCCTTTACGCGGTATAACCGGACAACCGAAAAAATGCCCCTTTCGGGGGCCCCCACCACTTAAGCACAACTCCGTCGAAGTCGAAAACTTACGAGAGTCTTAATGGGCAACCAATGAAGCCATTAAAACAATAAAATCTTTTGTTGGAATTATTTCCGATTTAAAAGCTAATTCTACTGGACTATAAATGAACGACAATTTTCCTGTCGATAGTGACACATTTAATAACGAACAGGCGTATGTATGCTTATCGCTTCCAGGAAAAAAATGATTTAAACTTTTTAGAATCATAAAGAATTTGTATGTTTAATGGGTGTTGTCCTTTGGTCTTGGGTATTCTGGATAAATTAAAAAAATTTTTTTTTTACTTTATTGCTTGCACGGACTACGTTGAAAACAATTTATATCATACGTTAAGACTGCCACCCGAAATAAAGTGTTACTGGACAGTAGCAGAGTAAATACAAATGAGTAGGTCATCTTCATAGAAACGCACCGAGCGCGGTTTGTATGTGAGCGCGCCAATATACGTATGCGGCGCGCACGCACACACTGATAAAATTCGGCGCAACCACGACTGGCTCCCCGCTAATCCCCGCTAAATTTTGTCAGTGTGTGCGTGCGCGCCGCATACGTGTTGGCGCGCTCACATACAAACCGCGCCCGTGCGTTTCTATGAAGATGACCTACTCATTTGTGTTTACTCTGACAGTAGTCGACTGATTTGAACTTACATTTAAAAAAACACTTGTTCCAGACTACGGCCAGCGCCAGAAAGGCCGCCGAAGCTCTCCCCACTAATCTCCGACCTCAACAACTTAAACCTGAAATCGCCAACCCACCCACACATCGAGGAGTTCACGACAGACCACGACTACGAGGCTTTAAGCCCCTCGTACGTGAAGCCTGCGCGCGCGGCACCGCGACCGCCCGTGTCTCCCGCCGCGCCGCCAAGGGTCAAGGGACCGGCGCCGCTGCCAAGAAATAATAACTACCAGACGCTGGGCGGATATAGTGGGCTGGAGGGAGTGCCTTTCTTGCTCAATCCTAAGCTGAGGGGACTGCCGGATGATGCGCTGGTAAGTCCACTATCTTAATACTTAACTTCTGATTGCACGAAGACGTGTTTTTAGGCCCGCGCCGCCAAGGGTCAAGGGCCCGGCGCCGCTGCCGAGAAATAATAACTACCAGACGTTGGGCGGATATAGTGGGCTAGAAGGAGTGCCTTTCTTGCTCAATCCTAAGCTGAGGGGGCTGCCGGATGATGCGCTGGTAAATATTCCATTTTACCCGATTGTATCTTTCATCTGCTGTACCTCGCAAATCGAGGCCGTGGGGCAGTGCCAACCAAGAATGGTCTGGTGCCCCCCACAGGATTTTGATGAGTTTTTTTCAGGAAGATGCCAAATGGAGTAGTGTAGTAGTACTAACTCATGAGCTATGATAACAATCGCGATGTTACGATTATATTCGAGCTGTGATACGAATTTAAAAATGTTCATTTTACCTTATTTATATTTGCTTAGGTGCTATAATTGAATGTCCATTTCAGACACAGCTGCCATCGGTAAAGCGGCGCACGCGCTTCGAGCTGGATCGCGAGTATTCTTACAACTTCGCCACCGAGCGGCAGACGTGAGTCGAGGACACATCCTTAGGTACACGCCCGTAGTACTAACTTTATACGCAAGGCGGGGCATGGGCTGGGCATACTAAAGTATATTCAATTTTATGTATGTATAAATAAGGACGTGATTGATTTGAAACTGTGCCCTCGTCTTATGAAATGTGCACTAGCAACTCATTACGCACATTTATGTAATTTATTAATTGATAGTTCGTACTACGGGCGGTTAGACTGTTATTAATTCAAATTCTACTAAACCTCAGCTTGAAATTACTCCTCTTATAGGAGGTTTCGTAAAACCCTGCAATTCCTGCAATCGACTATTACATTGTAAAGTGTTGAAGTATTAAATTAACAATAGACAAAGTTAAACATAATAGAAACAATATACAATAGGCAATAGTAGCGGTTGAGTGGGTCTCGCTTTGGGTATCCTGTGCGGGATTCACTGATTGTTGGATTAGAGAATATGAGTGTAGAACAGTCGAATTCATGACTGATAAATCTATCTATTAATAGATTATATTGTTGGTATCATACCACGACATTGATAAACATAAATCTCATTGTGTTCATGTAACTGAAAAGCTTTTATTTAATCGTGAATTCTTCATTTATTGACTGCATATTTATTATTATTATATTCATAGAGATTAAAGCTGTTACTGTCTGATTTTGATAAGAATGGAGATTACTTTTTGTAACTAAACAGACTAACCTTTCTACTTAGATCTAAGTTCGAGTCTCTGCAAAATACGTAGACTTCAGAATATCTATAAAATATTTCAGTATTTTATGAATGAGATTCGATATAATCCTACTGTTCTTATTTAACGGTTGTGTATATACACTTAGGAGTAAGATTTAAGGAATTTAAAACCAAGACAAATGTAAATTAGAATTTTATGATTTGCCCATATTTCCTGTTTGACTGGTTGTGTTGCCACAATCATTGCAACCAATGAACTTTTCCGCTCATTCCATTCAGTTGTTACGTTTATGTAATAGCATTGAATGTCTACAATTTTTCGAATGTTGAGAACTTTTGTTGCTCAACCTAACGATAACACGAATTTGGCAGGTAACGTAAAATAGCAATTTCTAGACATATCCCTGTGTATAGAAATAGGGTGCGGTGTGTTTAATGGAGTGGAGGCCTTGGGCGGCGAAGAGACTGATGTATGACCGAGCATCCCTCGCGAATGCGGGGTGTTATGTTTCATATTGTAATAAGAATGTTGTATTATAAAAACGATCGAATACTTGATTCGAACACAAATGGTCTATTGTTTTAACGCACGTGTGGTACTAATGAGTACATTGCACGTAGACACTTGTAGAAATCTCCCTTTTCCTTATTAAGCGGATGAGTAATGTTATAAATAAAAATATGTGTCATATTTGATAGTTTCCTGCTCTGTTTAGCTGGTTTGGGTGATGTTACGGCTCACCTTTGTTTACATTATAAATGGGCGCGACTTTACACGAGCTCAGTGTGCCAACTCTCAGTACAATGTTCCGTTACCGGGCAGAAGCCAGCCAAATTGACTAGTCAACGTTAGAGTCACGTTTTACACGCGACTAATGTTACTGCATTTTAATTATTGATGATCTGTTAGCTCAATGGGATGTATACTAAATTCTTTAATTTTTGTAAACTAACCATTTTAATGGAATTGCCATTATTAGGACCAATTCATTTATTGTATGATTTTATCCAGTTTGAATTAATTTTAGTTAATTTATTGTGTATTATGTAATTTTTTTCGAATGTTCATGTTCTGTAAGAATTTTGTCTGCGGTGTGTTCACCACGAATTGTAGCGTATTGCCACTCTTTGTCAATTTATTGTACATATCTAGTAATTATGTTAGAATTTATGCGACTGTTTCTTATCGTTAAGGTATGAAGGCACGACATCTCGATTGGAAATGTCTTATTGGAAATCTATGTTATACTTTAACAAGTTGTCGCCCTTCGTATCAGTCGATCTGTGCTAGTTAATGTACTTCCTGGTGGGCATGCGGTGCTTAAATGACTTTAGCAGTGCCTTCATGGCAATCAGTGATATCAGAATGATATTCAGTAATTAATTTTGGTTTTTCAACAGGACATGCGACTATGTACTGCTTTATCTCGAAATAACACTAATGCCCGCCACTGTTGAAATAAATAATAAAAAACCCGAAATTGTCACAAATGCAATGTTTCATTATTAATATATTTATTGATTAGAAATTGTAAATATTACTTTGTATATGCATTTAGAGAATTAGTTCGCTTTTTACGTACCTAGAGATGTAATACAGTAATAAAATTGTTTAGAGCTATATGGATTAATAAAATTTTAAATTATTGACTGAAAAATACGTTTTATTTGATGGCGTTTGTGCGGATTCTGCAATAAAACTCCAGGGTGTAATAACAAAAATACTTGTATTACAAAATATTGTTTCACAATAGTTACTTCAATTTACTTTCACTTAAAAACACAACAAAACTTACTTAAAATAAAACTTTGCAACCTTTTACTAATAAATATCACTATTTATCGTATGGGAATTATAAAATTCCCAAGAGTTCTGATAATCATGTGGCATCCGTAAATTAGACACAGTAAAATTATAAATACGAACATAACAAAAGATGAAAACTGAGATTTTTGTCTTCGAAAAATTGAAGCTGAGGAAAGTTTACACACATAAGATTGTTTTAGTTTGAGGCCCTTATGAAACAAAGCTGAATTAAATATACTCTTAAAAATACAGAATTCGAACTATGATTGAGTTTGCGCTTAATTTCGGGCTTCATTTTGTAATAAGGACCTGAAATTTCTAATTAAAGAATATTGAATAAGTGATATTTACTAGTAAAGTGAATAAGGACATTACCACAACAATTATTTTACATAAAAAAAACCTATTTATTTGGGTTTCTTTGTAGGCATTTGACGCGTACGACAAAATTGATTTTTTTTAGCACGGATAATTATAATTTTTATTTGTATGAGCACTGACATAATATTGTTATTTCCGTATATTCGGATAATACGAGCTTTACGAGCATGGTCAATATTTAGAAACGGTGTAACCAAACAAATTGCCCAAACAGATATTGCATTACTTAATAACTACAAAATTTATATAAACTCACTACAGAAACGACTATTATAACCGACCAGAAAATAAATAGTACACATGTCTTTGTTCCCACAAAAATATCAGGGAATACATAAAATTGGTAACGGAGTGACTATTATGGCGTATACAGCACGCAAAGCAACACTGATTCATAAATAAATGTACATACACTCCATAAAATCATAGTTTCCTTTATGCATAATTTACTTTTTAGAACCTTGGCAGTTCCAATCGATATAAAAGTCCACTCGAACCGGACGAGTTTGTATCGATACAAATAATTTTATTACAAACCTAAACTAAAAGGCGGTATCAAAAAGATGCGCGTAACTCTTCACTTGCATGTCAGGGTCTTGTTTATCCTATATTCAAACGATTATTGCAATCGTCAGGAAACAATGTAAATGTCATTTTCTACAGAAGAAGTACTACATCAAAACTGGATTTAACACCGAGCTGAGTTTTGAGGTAAAAAAATATATCTCGATTGCAAAATCCAGTTCAAAGCTAAAATATAGACACGAGGGAATGTAAGTATGTGAGTATAAAAGTGTAAGCACCTGTACCGCCTTTCAATCTGGCAGTGGCTACGCATAATTTGGGAGGTCACTTGGGGCAGGAGTGGAGCGTCAGTGCGGCGCGGGCGGCTGCTTCAGTTGCTTCTGCTGCTCCAACAACCGCTCTAGCGGCGACGGGCCCGGGCCCGACCATAGAGACTGCAACGAGAAATTAAGTAATCAGGGTGTCCACATTCTGGAAAGTCAGGGAAAGTCAGGGAAAAGTCAGGGAAGCTCATAGCAGTCAGGGAAAGTCAGTGAAATAGAGGGGTCACCTGGAAAGTCAGGGAAAAATTGAGATNGAGTCAAAGTGGAGTGAAAGTAAAAATCGTTCAAAATTTTAAGGAAATAAAATATTTTGATTAACTTTTGTGTAAAAACTGCAAGGATTCTGGGGGTTTTAAGAGTTGGGGTGAACAGAAGCACTACTTAAGTTGCCGATATAAACAGAAAACCAGGAATAATTGAAAAATTGTGGTCGTGGTAATGTAAAATATCATAAGGGGTGTCAATTTTCGTTGAATTTCATAATTTATTGTGTAAGTTAAAAAATAATTGAGATAGATTTTTTCCTTATTTTTCCTAAAGTAGTCATGACTATGTCCATCCTGTGGCGTCGGCTTATCCTTGAATTTTGGGACACGTTGTATACATAGTTGGTCAGGGAATTTTGAAAAAATTGTCAGGGAAAGTCAGGGAAAAGTCAGGGAATTTTTTCGAACATTTGCAGTGGACACCCTGGTAATAAATAAATAAAGAAATAATAAAGTAAATAGTAAACGTCTATTATGTCTAGGTACAGTCGCGCTATTAGACAATGGCAAAGTTGTTAATAACTTGTAATGAAAATCTACTAAAAGAAAAGACTATGCAACATTAGAAACTTCTATTATAAAGTCCGGTCGCCGAGCACATTGGATGAATCCAATGACCCCAAGCTACCCATCCTTATCGCTCACGCGTAATTATACTGTCGCGCTCGCACACTCACTGCGGCCGCCCGTCGCACAGCTGCGACAGTAATATAATAATTACGCGCGAGCGATAAGGATGCATAGCTTGGGGTCATTGGACGAAATTCTATCTGCTCGGCGACCAGACTTTAGCGCTGCACGCTTAACTGAGTCAGTGCCTGAGGTGTGGTGAGAGCAGCACGGGAGGGTTTTTTGTTACGTCAAATATCAGCGAGACCTCTGTCACGTCATAATGTGTCAAAATCACCCGTGCCACTCCCTTATCAGGCACTGTCTCAGTTAAGTGCTGGATCTATAATTCCGAGATAGTTCAGTTCCAACTTTATTCGGCCTTATTTTCACATCAATGAGAAAATTTGGTGGTTACCTGTTGCGGGTGGTGATGGGAAGCGCCCCAGGCCGGCGAGTCGGGCGCTCCACTGAACAGCGAGTACGTGTTGCCGCCCACCTCGCCTGCGCTCGAACCGCTCTGAGGACGAAAATTTTGAACATTAGGTTTTATGGCGTAGGAATAAGGATGGAATTCCAATACTTTTTATTATAATAGATTTTTATGTAAGACAAGGCAGGTATTTGACCGCAATCGCACCTGGTGTTAAGTGTGATGCAGTTTATAGTCTGGTCCGTGAGCACGTAAAATTTTGTCCAATGACCCCAAGCTACCCATCCTTATCGCGTAATTGTGTTGCTGTCGCGCTCGCACACTCACAACGGGCGCCCGTCGCACAGTCACGAGAGCAATATAATTACGCGCGAGCGAAAAGGATGGGTAGCTTGGGGTCTTTGGACAAAATTCTACGTGCTCACAGACCGGGCTTTAGGATGGTACATATCTGCCCTGTAAGTGCCTATTCACTCGCGCCTTGAAAAGGACCGGATTATAGTGTTCAGGAAAGACAGCAGCAGGCAGCGAATTCCAGCCCCTAGCTGTTCACATTATAAAAGAGTTATCGAAACGCTTAGTGCGAGCTGGTGGAATGTCGACAATGTAGGGAAGGTACGCTAACCTGCGTTTGGTTCAACGGTGATGAAAGAATGGATGGAGAACTGATTTTTTTTTATCCACAACGAGGAAGCTCTTGGCCTGTAATCTCATCTGATGGTAAGTGACGATCAGGCCGAAGGTGGACTGAATTGACCATTTTAATAAATACTGGTAATTAGTGGCAATGCTTACCGCAATCGGGTCCATATTTTTAGCACCGTTATCGCTGCTCATGTTGTCTGGAAACTTGATGCCCAAATTCCTCTGCTGCATGTCCATGGCGATGGACCCGAACCCGAGCCCGCCGATGTCCATGAGGTTCTTGTTGGCCTGGTACTCCATAGACGGCTTGTCCATCATCTTCATCTGCATCGGCTGGTAACCCACTTTGTTGTTGTTAAACTGAGGGTACATTGCCGAGTCGTACCCGACTGTAGGCGCGTACGACCCGAAGTTGTTCAGCGATGAATTGAAGTTCGGCGAGCTGACCATATTCTGTAAGGTCTGGAGCTGCGGCTGACCTATAGTCGAGGGCAAGTAGTTCGGCACGTTCTCCGGCTTCTGCTGCCCTACGCTTTGGTTTTGCATCTGGTTGAACGACGGCATGTTTTGGTAGTTAGGCAGGTTGGGAGCGACGTGCGAGTAGAAGTTGGGCTGCATGCCCATCGCTGGCGAGTAACTCGGCGAGTTGCTGAAGTTGGGAGGCGGGTTCTCCGGTTTCCACCACGGCATCGGCTGGGTTGGGTAGTTTTCCGGCGGCGGGTTGGCCCAATTAGGCTGTTGGGAGTTGAACAAAGCGTTCGGCTTGAAACTGTCGTCGCGGAATTTGTTGTCGTTGAACTGGCTGTCCTGGGCCGCCTGCCAGTTGCGGTACTGGTTGGCAAAACGCGGCGGGAGGTCGTTCAGGAAGTTCTTCTTGTCGCCGGACACGTGGTAGGAGTAGTTGCCGAACTTGTGTCCGTCCTGGAAGAGCTCCTGCCGCGAGTTCTGCTTCTGCAGCGCGGCGGTGCGCACGTCGATCTCCTTGGGATTTACCACTGGAAGTCTTATGCCCTGGTTGTTGACGTTAGGTGGAGACGGGTAGTTGGGGTTGTATGAGATCCCAGCGTTTTGGATGCCGTAATTCTTCTGGAAGTTCACCCTGGGGCCGTCGTATGGTATATTCGGTGGAGGCATATTTGGGCTCCAATTCGGTGGGGGCATGTCCTGCCTCTTCGGCTGGTAACTCTGCTGCGAATTCTGACTCGATCCCTGGTTGGGTTTCGGTTCCTTTTTGTCCTCTTTGTCCTTCTTGGGTGGTTCCGGGTCTGTGTTCTGCAGATGCGGGTACCCGGCAGACTTGTCCTTCAGCGAGAGGATCCCGCCGGTTTTCCTTCCCAGGGGAAGATTGGCGAGATTCTTGATGGCTTTGGGTTGGATGACCTTAGGTTTGTCCTGATCTTTTGCTTCGGTGGAGTCCCCGGTAGTGTCTGGGGTCGGTGGTGGTGTTACGAATTTCACCTGGAAAGGAAAACAATATTAAGGCGTTAGAGTATTTAGATTCTTAATCTTATGGCTTTTAAAATAAGTTTGATAGTCACCTGTTTGTTGGATTCTTCTTGCTTTCTCATGATTGCTGCCATTGCGATGTTGACTCGCGGCTTACGAAGGTCCTTCTTATCTTCGCTTTTACTGATGTCTTCGGCGCCGTCTGACTCCTGTGTTCAACCACGAATATTATAAGTCTTAATATCAAATGTTAATTAATTGTTAGCTCAATGTTCTGGAACTAACCGGGTCGTCTTGTGTGCTGGCCATCGCGCGTTCTTCCCTCGCTCTCTCCAGCGAACCTTGCGGCTTTAGAATACCCACTCGCTTCTCTCGGACTGTAAAGAAATAAAAAATATCATAAACAAACAAGCCAATATTGTCACGCTGAGTTCATTCAAATACAGTCGATGTGTAAAGCCGTTAAAAGTAAAAAAAAAACTAGCTTAGCTAAATATCATTTTATCATCAGGTCATGTAGTTTCCATTGCAGGACGACGGCCATCTTTAATTTAACAAATATAAAGACGCGCTCGGGATAATCGTCGCTCACGTCCTGCCCCCCCCCCTTCGGCCGTCCCTCCCCTCCCTCATGTGTGCCAATGCCAAATAAATAGCTGTATTTAATGCCCATTGCATTTTAACTAACCGTTCTCCCCAAAATCGGCCTCGGAGATGACGATAACGTGGGCTAGTCTTCGCTATCATCCTTCCCTCCCCCCTCGTACTAACCCCCCTTTCCATTCCCCGCACGCACTAGAAGTAGACCATCCTATATCCAATGTTAATAGATATTTCACTGACCCTTCTCCCCTAAGTCGGCCTCTGAGATCACTATAGGAGGCGGCGCGCGCTCGGGCTCGTCGTCGCTGTCGTCCTCCCCTCCCCCCTCCCCCTCGTCGGCCCCCCCGGGCGCGGCGCGCAGTAATGATCCTTATATCTAATGCCCATAGTCCAAGTCCACTGACCCTTCTCCCTGAAGTCGGCCTCTGATATCACAATAGGCGGCGGCGCGCGCTCGGGCTCGTCGCTGTCGTTCTTCCCTCCCCCCACGTACTCACCCTCCTCCCCTTTTTCCACACGCACTAAAGAACCCTATACCTAATATACATTACATTTCCACTGACCCTTCTCCCTAAAGTACTCCTGTATTAAATGTCTATTGCATTTCCACTGACCCTTCTCCCTGAAGTCTGCCTCTGAGATGATGCGGGCGCGGCGCGCAGTAATGATCCTTATATCTAAAGCCTGGTCCGTGAGCACGTACAGCACAGTCGCGACAGCAACATAATTACGCGCGAGCGACAAGGATGGATAGCTTGGGGTCATTGGACAAAATTCTACGTGCTCACGGACCAGGCTTTAGAGTCCATAGTCCACTCCACTGACCCTTCTCCCTGAAGTCGGCCTCTGAGATCACTATGGGCGGCGGCGCGCGCTCGGGCTCGTCGCTGTCGTTCTTCCCTCCCCCCTCCCCTTTTTCCACACGCACTAAAGAATCCTATACCTAATATACATTACATTTCCACTGACCCTTCTCCCTGTAATAGTCACAGCCCCAGACCGGCGAGAGTAGCACACATAGGGATAAGGATATAGAACAAAGAACTTGTAGGGAGTCAAGCGTTGCGCGCGGCAGAGTGCAACCTGCTACGGCAGACGCAGTTCCGCGCGCATCTCCCGCGATTCGGCCAGTTATAACCGCAAGGTTGGCATGGCCATGGGTGGTGGTGGGTTGACCCTTCTCCCTAAAGTACTCTTGTATTAAATGTCTATTGCATTTCCACTAACCCTTCTCCCTGAAGTCGGCCTCTGAGATCACTATCGGCGGCGGCGCGCGCTCGGGCTCGTCGTCGCTGTCGTCTTCCCCTTCCCCCTCGTCGGCCCCCTCCCCGCCAGCCACGCGCGCAAGCGACAGCTCGGCCAGCGCGGCCGACAGCTGTTCACCTCCTACCGATGTCGCGGTGAAGCGGACGCCGTCTTCTTCACTGTAAAACATTTTTAGCTGTGTCAATTTTATTTATTATTTATTTTAACAATAAAAACATCTAAGCAACTCATTTGCGCATTTTACCAAATTAACGTCCGTATTCAAACGATGCTTGCTTAAGTAAAGCAGAAAATCGAAAACACAGCGTTGAATAGAGCTCTGGTTGTGTCACCCTGTGCGTCCACACGCACTGTGAGACCTCATAGTAATGTTTGTGAATACGAACGTAACTATGTTTTGCAAATAAATCCCAAAGAGGTGCAGCTAGGCTAGAATGCGTTACACGATAAAATTTAATAGAGACATTTTAGACGATGGAACGATTTGTCGTTTAAAATCGACAATAAGATTATGTAAGTAGTGGAACGCATCCGCAGAAGTAAGAGTAGGTAATTATTAACCTATAAAACAAGTTAATTAAGTATTTGTAAATTGACTCAAAAACTTATTGGTTCTTTTCCAAGTGGTTAGCCTTCCATCCACAACTGCAAATAAATATCGTGACACAAATATATTACCAGTTATAGACTCACTTGCACTGCAGGTGTTCGGGAAACATATCAGCCAGGCGACGGCCCAATCGCACCAATCGTAGTGCGCGCAACCGCCGCTCCAATTCCGGCTCGCTGCTAAGACAGCTCGCAGGGACTTCGGCTGGGGGACTGCGAGAAACAAATAAGTTAAGTACGCATCTGCATGGGAGATGATTACATTTCTTTGATTAATTGAAAAAGAACAAATGAAGTGAGGAAAACCATGGAAGAAGAGGTTTACCATATCCTCATGTTTCTAGTAGCATCTTAACACTGCCCATAAACGCGATCACAACTTAAACCTAAACTAATTTAAAACTTGAAAAACAAATTGGACCTACGAGGTGTGAGATCGGCCATGATCTTCCAGATTAATGTCCCGAATTCAATTCAATATACTAAAGAAAACATATCACGGCTGTTTAGAGACAGCTCACAATTACAACTAAACACTCACTGCGGCCGCCCGTCGCAGTCGCGACAGCAATATAATTCAGCGCGAAGGATAAGGATGGGTAGCTTGGGGTCATTGGACGAAATTTTACGTGCTCGGCGACCGGACTTTACAACAACACTACCTCTTCCATTTTAATCCACTAAATTAAGAAATACGTTGTAAAGTATAGCCTGACCAGGAACATAAAAACCCTCGCCATGTTGCGGAAAATTAATGGTACTAATTTCTTTTAATGGCAACAGTAACTGAAAACTTCATTGACATGTCACCTTGCATGTCAGTCTATTGCTGTCAAAGTGTAAACAAACTTTATTTTAAATGTGCGCAATTGATTTTGTGAATTAAATTGCTAAAATCTTTTTATAGTCGTGAAAGAAAAGTGGTTCACAATGTGTTAAAGTATTTGTCGAAGAGAAATACTATGGGTTCGGACAATATTTTCATTGAATAATGTTTCCGACAAAGGTTGTCAAATTGACTGACATGTTTATCGTATAGTACAGTCAACTATGAAAATTAGCTGTGTTTTGTTTCAACTACCTATTTTAAAGTTTTTTGTCACTTTGTAAGTATTGAATTTTATGGAATTGGGAAAGAAGTACCGAGTTTGAAGCGTTCATGAGCAGACATTGTAGTTGAATATTCAAGTTCAGAATTTGATTATTGATGAATAATAATAAAATCCTACTTGCTCGATTGATGGTTTCATTTAATTTATTTAAACCAGTTTACCTATAATATAATATGTTTTTGTTAATTTATGAAAATATTAAATTAGCCTATAATCCTGAATCCTGATACATAAAGTTAGCCTATTAATTTAATACAGGTACGACTGTACCCAGTGTTGCACTATCAAATGCAATTGAAGCGCCTCTATGCCAGGGTTTTTATGTTCCTGGTCAGGCTATAAATAAATAGTATACTAAAAAATTTAAGCGGTGTTCACGATCACAAACAACTCTCATCTATCTTCTCAAGAGCAAGAAGTCGCAACTCACTCGTCATCGGGCGCGGATTCCGGCACGTCAGGCACGCGGCCTCCGTACGCGTCCCAAGCGGCGTGGTTGGCGAACCGCAGTGGTTTCAACTCCTCTTCCAGAGGTAAGAACCCGTGAAGCTCCTCGTCTTCTGGTAATGGCACCGTTTCATCTATGGAAAGAGTTTGAATAAGTCTTCAATGATTCAAAATGTACCCAATACATTCTTCTAGCATTCCTTGGTAATTCAATTTTCTTTCCTCAATCCATGAGGAAATGTTAATATGAACAAGTAGCCCATCGGTTGTAGCCTACAACTTGTAGGTAACACTCCCTACTGATCATGTCTGCATAAGATGTATACGACAGGTACAGCGAGTATTTAACTGAGTGAGGCCGTATACAGAAAGAAAGCTGGAAACTTATAAGCGCTTCAAGCGCCGGTAACCCGCGCAGGAAAATATATGAACGCGAGCCGATAAGCACTGAACGGCGCCGACAAGTTTCAACACGCGCTGGTCAGCGCTGGACGCTGCCATAGCCATATAAAAATACCATTCAACTTGCTTCCTTTGTGTAGAACGGACCAGTGCTGATAAGCGCCGGTAAGCGCTTATAAGTTTCTAGCTTTCTTTCTGTATACGGCTTGAGGTACGGGAGCGGTACGGAAGGGTTGACATTGACATATTATGACGTGANAACGTGGGATTTTTTTAAATCTCAGGTCTTTTAAACGCACACCTGAACGATGTCTGGTTTTAATTTCTTAAGTTACTCCGTGACCATGGCGCTTGCAACAGTGCCGAAATATTGGAAACTCAAAACTAAGGTACATGGTAGCAATCCCGTCAGTAATAATAATAGGAAAATGTCTTGAAAAATAAGTAAATCGTATATTACTTTATGTAACTAATTTTATTATGTATCACACTTATAACTAATCACTTCATTCAGAACTAGAAAACGATACCAAGGATTCCACTTTTCTTCAATAGATGATCAAGATAAAGAGGTATTTATTATAAATTGCTCTTCCACCATTTCCATTATTCTATCTTACATCTTACTCGATGAAATCTTTTTCAATTTTATTTACATGGTCATAACTTTTTCACCATTCCTCTGCACCAATTTGTGAGGTACACCTGAAACCCCCGATAAAGCAGCTATTATAAGAATAATATTTAAAAAAACCCCTCCTTCTGACGCAGTTAGGTAATAAACTAAATGTATCCAATTTCACTCCAACTTACTGTCAACTCAACTACGCGCTTTTAAATCAAAGATTGACTTTGAATTATGCCTTATTTTACAATACACATTGAAAACAATATGACTTGCTTGAGCTTTTTCGACTTTTTCACAAAAATAACAAATAGGCATGAAGAGATTACAAAATTTCTGCAGCGACTGACAGTTCACTTGATTTACTTTGACAGGTGACAATAAAACCATAGACATTTGCCATATGAAAGACACACTTTTCCGCGCACGTGACATTGGCGGAATAGTGTGCCCTCAGTGGCGAAAAAACGCAAGTTCATCGCCATAAACCAAAGAAGAAGAAGAAGACACACTTTTCCAATATTTTTGTTTGCCATGAGATTCTGGTACACCTATACCTATCATTTAATGAAAAGATAAACTAAACTTTTTCAGCACAACGAAAATCTGCTTTGGCGCGTAGCAATGCAACGTGACAACTGCAGTTCGGACTTCTTTATGCATCCACTACACATACAATAAAATTCGAACTATCGCACATTTTTTCTTTTTAATTCTAATTCAGTAAAAAATGTTTTTGAACTTCATTCAAAATTCAAAAGTTATCATCATATGACAGAACTTATGACCAAACTATGTACATTGAATAAAATATTTTTCTTTTTATCATCAAGCTTAGCAGTCTAATAAGTTACTATGACACTCGAGTTAATCCACATTCAGCACCATAGCCTCCCCTTCTACAAGGCCCTCTACAAATGTCAAAACGTCATTTAACCCTTTTAGCACCAGTTCTTTTGTTTTTGAGAAGATGTACCCAAATTTATATCAATTTAATTATAGTCCAGTCGTTTGGTACAAATTAACGTGGTTACCTGGAAAGTGTTCCGGGAGTTTTGNGAGGAGGGTAAGCGGAAACATGGCGGTCAACTCCTCAGGTACAAAGATGTACAGAAGCGGCACATGAAAAGATGCAACATTGAGCCCTCTCAGTGGGAAGGTTTGGCAGCACAGCGTCCAGAATGGCGGGAGATTGTGAAAAGGCAAGTCCACGAGTTCGAGGTGCAGCGTACGACTGAACTCGACGCGAAGCGCGATGACTTGAAGGCCCGTCCATCTGCCGCCATTCACTATAACTATGTTGGCGGCGTGCTCAGATGCCCTCAATGCGCGAGGGATTTTACCGCGAAAATAGGCTACGTAAGCCATCTTCGGGCACACCAGCGCCGCCAAGACAGCTAGGAGTCGGAGTGGTCGCCATGGCCGAAATCGGTCGGATGGATCATCATTATGACGTGACAGTGCATACAAATCTGAAGTCTCAAAAACGCCTTCCCGTGCCGACCCATACCTCAGGCACTCTGTTAAGTGCTAGACTTATACAGGGTGTTAGGTAAATGGGTATATGAGCCGACACTAGCCCATGTTAACATAGTAATATAAATGGTATGGTGAAGTCAGAAAATTGATATCTTCATTTTAATTATTTTATTTTTCATACAAATCGGATTTTATAAAATTTATTTGGTATGAAAATTAAAAAAATTAAAATGATGATATCAAATTTCTGACTTCACCATACCATTTATATGCCCATGTTAACATGGGCTAGTGTCGGCTCATATACCCATTTACCTAACACCCTGTAGATGGTAGGGGCGAGGCCGAGGATATGAAGTAATACTAAGCTATAAAATAATGATGATAACTCACACGCAGCGTGCGGCGTGATATGACCCGCTAGCGGTGCCAGCGCGTTGAGCGTGTGAGCGAGCGCAGGCCACAGCGCCGTCCGCGCGTCACAGACGAGAGTATGGAGTAACAGACTATGCTGTAATGGCGACAGTGCACTCCACCATGATACAGTGGGCTGAGTGTGAGTTTAAATCAAACGCGCTCACTAGTGGTTTAAAAAATGTATGAAAATTTTAGTTTTTGAACTTTTCCCGCTAGGGGCGCTGTACAATCCGTCATACATTTAATGACATTTTTTGACGCGCTCACTCTTGGCCCTCAGGGCGAGAGTGAGAGTGCACTGCTGCCCTACAAAGAATAATAACTCACACGCAGCGTGCGGCGTGACGTGACCCGCGAGCGGCGCCCGCGCGTTGAGCGTGTGAGCGAGCGCCGGCCACAGCGCCGCCCGCGCGTCACAGACGAGGGTATGGAGTAATAGCGACAGTGCACTTCACCACGAGACAGAGTGCACTGCCGCCCTAAAGACAATGATAACTTACACGCAGCGTGCGGCGTGATATGACCCGCCAGCGGCGCCAGCGTGAGCGCCGGCCACAGCGCCGCTTGCGCGTGACAGGACAGTATGGAGTAATAGACTATGCTGTAATGGCGACAGTGCACTCTCGCCGAGACACCACGAGACAGGCCGAGTGCACTGTCGCCATAAAGATAATGATAACTTACACGCAGCGTGCGGCGTGATATGACCCGCAAGCGGCGCCAGCGCGTTAAGCGTGTGAGCGAGCGCCGGCCACAGCGCCGCCCGCGCGCGCCACGCGGCGCCCCGCACGAATTCCGTGTGTTGCACGCACCATTGCAGCCACACTTTCACTGGAACAAAAACAATAAATTAGTAGTTTGTACGACTTTATTTCCGAATATTCTAGCTCCGACTTTCACTACAACACTACGTCTTCCACAAAATGGAATCACTAAATTAAGAAATACGTTCTAAAGTGTGACTATACAGGTTGATTTAAAAAAAAAAACAATATTGTTTTCTTTACGTAAATCTATTAAGTTACTGATTCTGAGTCGCTCCTAAAAATTTGAATACTGATAACAAAATCACCCTGTAAATAAAGTACAATAGAAAACTTCTGCGTTTCTGCCTGCAACCCAAAATAAGCCCACACACGACATCGTGCTACACTACATGGTCCTTCGAGCCGGATTCAAATTCTAGGCATGAAATTCACACAAGAAGATAGAAAGGTATGTTCTTCTTAAAGACCGTACTTTATGAAGAACAGCTAGTGTATTGTATACACTCACGCGCAGGCAGCGCTCGCTCCGGCGGCGCCTGCAGCGTGTAGGCGGGCAGTCGGAGAGCCAACATGGCGGCCGCCGCCAACTCTTCGCTCAGACGCGCCGCCCTCGCAATGCAGCGCGATCCACTTTGAGCTCTCGTGCGAGGACATTAAAGCTAGTATTGTATGACACTCACGCGCAGGCAGCGCTCGCTCCGGCGGCGCTTGCAGCGTATAGGCGGGTAGTAGGAGAGCCAACATGGCGGCCGCCGCCAACTCCTCGCTCAGACGCGCCGCTTGTGCCTCGCAATGCAGCGCGATCCACTTTGAGCTCTCGTGCGACGACATTGAGCTAGTATTGTACACTCACGCGCAGGCAGCGCTCGCTCCGGCGGCGCTTGCAGCGTGTAGGCGGGTAGTAGGAGAGCCAACATGGCGGCCGCCGCCAACTCTTCACTCAGCCGCGCCGCTTGTGCCTTGCAATGCAGCGCGATCCACTTTGAGCTCTCGTGCAAGGACAATAGAACTAGTATTGTACACTCACGCGCAGGCAGCGCTCGCTCCGGCGGCGCTTGCAGCGTATAGGCGGGTAGTAGAAGAGCCAACATGGCGGCCGCCGCCAACTATTTATTTATTTATTTATTTATTTATTTATTATTCATTATTGAGCAATTACATATTTGATCCAAATAGCGTCCTAAATCCTTTTTAGGTTTGTCTAGACACTATTGTTCTCTATACAAATAAAAACAAACGTTTTAGTATAAGCATTCACAACACTACTCACTCAAGCAGCGCGATCCACTTTGAGCTTTCGTGCAAGGACAATAGAACTAGTATTGTATGACACTCACGCGCAGGCAGCGCTCGCTCCGGCGGCGCCTGCAGCGTGTAGGCAGGCATTAATAGATCCAACATGGCAGTCGCCGTTAGTTCCTCGCTCAGCCGCGCCGCTTGTGCCTCGCAATGCACTGGGATCCACTTTGAGCTCCCGTGCAAGGACAATAGAGCTAAAGCCTGATCCGTGAACACGTAGAATTTTGTCCAATGACCCAAGCTACCCATCCTTATCGCTCGCGCGTAATTATATTGCTGTCGCGACTGTGCGACGCGCGCCCGCAGTGAGTGTGCGAGCGTGACAGCAACATAATTACGCGCGAGCGATAAGGATGGATAGCTTGGGGTCATTGGACAAAATTCTACGTGCTCACGTACCAGGCGTATTGTATGACACTCACGTGCAGGCAACGCTCTCTCCGGTGGCGCCTGAAGCGTATATGCGGGTAGTAGGAGAGCCAACATGGCGGCCGCCGACAACTCTTCGCTCAGCCGCGCCGCTTGTGCCTCGCCGTCGCTCAACGCAGCGCGATCCACTTTGAAGTCCTCGTTAGATGAGTGCACCAGCCATATCAGCACGCAGCTCATCTGTAAACGTACGCCATGTTACCAATACTCTACACCAGTAGGCCTAAGATGCGCGCCGTGATAACTTTTATCGACGTCAAAATGTATGGGGAAAATCGATAAAATGGCGTGATAACCGCTTATCGCGGTGCGCATCTTAGGCCTACTGTAGGCCTAGGATGCGCACCGCGATAAGCGTTTATCACGCCATTTTATCGATTTCACGCGATAAGCCCATACATTTGTCGTCTAAAATCATCGATAAGATTAGCTATCGACATCGACTAGCCCGGCTGGGCGAACCTTTAATAACAACATGAAACTTTTCTAAAAAAATTTTTGATGTAGTCATATACAGGATGTTAGGTAAATGGGTATATGAGCCGACACTAGCCCATATTAACATATAAATGGTATGGTGAAGTCAGAAATTCGATATCACCATTTTAGTTTTTTTAATTTTCATACAAAATATTTTTTATAAAATCCGATTTGTATGAAAATGGGCTAGTGTCGGCTCACATACCCATTTACCTAACACCCTGTATGTGCCATCAAATAACACCTAATGCTATCAATGAGGAGAGTGACAGAACCTCACTATACGGTAACCAACTGATGAGGGCAAATACGATAACTCTCATTCTATCTATACACATTATTTATAATGTATTTTATTTCGTAGTGAATTTTGTGGTGGCGTGCCTTAAATATAGACCCAAATGGTTCGTCATCCCTATTCGTCATCATCATCATTAAGTCATTTAGGATCCAATGCAGGAAGATGACCCTCCCAAATCATCAAAATTGACGGTTTAGTCTCACCTTGATGAGCGTCATGGACTCAAAGCTGTCAGTGGCTATGAGAGCTGTCAGCGACGAGTTGAGGGACTCTACTATCGTCTCGGCGGTCTCCAGTCTGGAACGAAAAGTAATTATTAGACTGCTGAAGCCGAATACATTTCACATTTAAAGTTATCAAACAACAACGTGAATAAACACCAGACTGAAGGATTTCCCACGCTGGATGCGTTCTGCAGTCTGCGGTCAGGTCAAAGTGAACGCAGCTAGCATCATATTTGATCAACATTGTCAATTTCTATACATTTTGTATTCATGTGATTTGACAGTGCGGGCACGAGCAAAGAATGCAAACTGATAGGTGCGTGCTGCGTTCATTTGATCTGACTACAGAGCGCAGAACGCATGCAGTGGGACAAATGCTTAACGTATTAACCACTAATCCATATCAAAACCGGTGTGGTGTCCCATCCAAGCGCCAAGCTATGGCGTACACATACTTACATAATGAAATCTGCGTCTGGTTCCCCGACGATGGTGGAATTAGTTCGTGTAATTCTTCCGCACATTCTCTGAAGTGTAGCCTGTAGAAAACCGATAGGGATGCTACCTTACGGCGATGGTCAAGTTCCTGGAGCGCCGCTTCAACGAGGGTGGGGCTGTCGATAAGTCTTCTGGCACGCCTTTCCACCGAATCCAAAGCAGCCAAATGTTTCTTGGCAGAGCCATCCCAGAGGTGGCAGCAGTATTCCATTCAAGGTCGGATCTGTGCTTTATACAGGGTGTTAGGTAAATGGGTATATGAGCTGACACTAGCCCATGTTAACATGGGCATATAAATGGTATGGTGAAGTCAGAAAATTGATATCTTCATTTTAATTATTTAAATTTTCATACAAATCGAATTTTATATACCCATTTACCTAACACCCTGTATAGCTGCAGCCATTGCTTCTTGATCTTGATTGACATAGGACCTTAAGTCAAGTAAGTCAAGACGTGGCGTAGAAAGCACGGAAACGTTCGTCTTCTATAGAAGACTGGCGCTGAAAAGGTTAAACACTACTCACTGCTCCACGTTGTGTATCATATGCGCGGCCCGTATGAGCGCGGTGACGTAGCCGGGCGCGTGCAGCCGTCCGCCCGCCGCGCCCGCGCCGTTTGCGCCGCTGACTCCGGGAAGCACGGGTAGAGTGCTGAGGCTGCCGCTGTTAAGGAAAATTGCTTTAGTATAACATAACATAACCTGTGCATTTTGTAGATCAATACATAAAACATTCGCTGTTCTATAGTACTTTAAGGTACACTAAAACTTCGGTTTAGTATAACATAGCTTGTGAATTTGTAGATCAATACATAAAACATTCGCTGTTCTACATTACTATACTATAAGGGCCTACGTTATAACTTGCGAGTGTGCACGGAACGGGCATCCGTTCCAGATAGTGATGCAACGAATACTACTTTTACCAATATTAAATCTACTATTCAGCGAATACGAATATCTCAACAAGGTCATGAAATATTCATAAATTTTACTCTTTTTATTATGGTTATTGTTTTAGTAATTAAAATTTACAAATGGCATTTTTTTGTTATTGTATCACTTTACTTTTTAAATAAACACAAAACTAAATACGTTTGTACAATGGACATGGCGCACAATTTTTGTTGAAATTGCCAAAAAATACTACAAAAAATTAGAATGAATACTGTATTTTTACTTTTTTGATATCTTTAAAAATGACTGAAATATTCAAGCTCAAAGTGCGCTCTTCCGCTAGGAGCGATTTTCCGCGCGGATTTTGAAAATGTGACGTAGTAACATGAAAAGCTGCATGTAAGATATTATCTGTGTACAATGGTTAGAATGGTTAGTAGAGGAGCCGAAGCGGGGATTTCGGGACTTACTAAAGAGTGGCAGACTAACATACAAGGAAATACTTTGTACCTGGTTGATTACCTTTAAGTATGAATTTTTGACATAAAACGGCATTAGTTCTTATGCCTCTCACCCAAAAAATACCTCAATTAAGCCCAAATTTGAGACCGCAGCCAAACTTTGAGTGACGAGCCTAGATGGAGGACACATGAAATTGAACTTCTGCTTCTTCATTGATAAAGACTTATCATTTACCATACCTTATCATTTTGTATTCCATTTTCAAGTAGCGCCTAGTTTGAAATGTGATTGAACGATGACAACTAACAACAGTTGTCAGTTAGGTAAAATTTTATTTTAGTTGGAAAAAGACAAAAAGTGGTAAATGGGTTAACGTGCGGGGGCTGCAAAATCATGTTGTGACGTCACGCGCGAATATTGGAAATTTTTGAAAATTTTAAAATGTCCGTAAACTTCTCGAGGCTCTATCTTCGGTAATACTGGATGGATTGAGGTGAAATAAAAACTAGTGTAATGTGTGTGATCTAAACTTTAAATTAAGTCATAATTTAACTTCATATTACAACTTATGCGTGTTGTCCATTGACCGTCAAATTCCGGAAGAGAACTTACTTACTACTTTGTTACCTATTGACCGGGGTTTACCCGTCGTGTCGTTGTGGCTATAGTGTTCGGATACACACACGAACGTGGCAAAATTAAAAAAAGTAGGTATCCGTATATTCGAATACGAATATTCGGTAAATGTCTACTATTCGGCGAATACGAATATTCGTATTCGTTGCATCAGTAGCCTCAACCGATGTCTCATTCGCCTAAAAATGGATGCAAACGCACACTGTCGCAAGCAACAGAACACATTCTGTTTTTGGGCATATTGCTGCGACAGTGGCCACGCCCCCTTTTCCCGTCTCCCTTTAGTTTAGTTCGCACTGACCCAGCGGCGGCGGCGTGCAGTGTGCGCGAGTTTAAACCCTAACAGAGGTAAATGGCGCGTTTTGCTTACACTGAGTGTAGCGTAGAGTGTAGTACACTCCCCACGCTCACAGGGTGAGGCACACATAAGAAGAAGCTTCACGAAGACTCGTTCATTGTGATTGGGTAACGTATAAAGCACTACTGACCCGGCGGCGGCGGCGTGTAGCGTGCGCGAGTTTTAGCGTAGGCCCTAACAAGGTAAACGTTGTGTTTTGTTTGCATAAGATGACACTTCACGAAGACTCGATCATTATGCTTCGGGTGACCTACAATACAAAGCTCTACTGACCCGGGCGGCGTGCAGCTTGAGCGAGTTTTAGCATAGGCTCTAACAGAGGTAATCGGCATGTTTTGTTTGCATAGGATGACACTTCACGAAAACTCATTAATTGTGCCTCGGGAAATCTATACTAATATTATAAATGCGAAAGTAACTCTGTTTGTCTGTCTTGCTTTCACGCCTAAACCACTGAACTTGAAGTCCCGGGAAAGGACATAGGATAGATTTTACCCCGGTTTTTGAAACAGGGACGCGCGCGGTCAAGTTTTTCTGTGACAGACAAAATTCCACGCGGGCACTATGACACTACTGACCCGGCGGCGGCCGCGAGCGTGCGAGCCAGGTTGGCGGGCGCGGGCGGGAAGGGCGCGCGCACGAGCAGCGAGCGCACGTGCCAGTACAGCGCGCCCAGCCGCCGCCCGCGCCGCCACGCCACCAGCGCCAGCTGGTTGTACGGCTGCCCCGAGTGCGCGACACAGCGCGGGCCGGACACTAGACACTACTGACCCGGCGGCGGCCGCGAGCGTGCGAGCCAGGTTGGCGGGCGCGGGCGGGAAGGGCGCGCGCACGAGCAGCGAGCGCACGTGCCAGTACAGCGCGCCCAGCCGCCGCCCGCGCCGCCACGCCACCAGCGCCAGCTGGTTGTACGGCTGCCCCGAGTGCGCGACACAGCGCGGGCCGGACACTAGACACTACTGACCCGGCGGCGGCCGCGAGCGTGCGAGCCAGGTTGGCGGGCGCGGGCGGGAAGGGCGCGCGCACGAGCAGCGAGCGCACGTGCCAGTACAGCGCGCCCAGCCGCCGCCCGCGCCGCCACGCCACCAGCGCCAGCTGGTTGTACGGCTGCCCCGAGTGCGCGACACAGCGCGGGCCGGACACTAGACACTACTGACCCGGCGGCGGCCGCGAGCGTGCGAGCCAGGTTGGCGGGCGCGGGCGGGAAGGGCGCGCGCACGAGCAGCGAGCGCACGTGCCAGTACAGCGCGCCCAGCCGCCGCCCGCGCCGCCACGCCACCAGCGCCAGCTGGTTGTACGGCTGCCCCGAGTGCGCGACACAGCGCGGGCCGGACACTAGACACTACTGACCCGGCGGCGGCCGCGAGCGTGCGAGCCAGGTTGGCGGGCGCGGGCGGGAAGGGCGCGCGCACGAGCAGCGAGCGCACGTGCCAGTACAGCGCGCCCAGCCGCCGCCCGCGCCGCCACGCCACCAGCGCCAGCTGGTTGTACGGCTGCCCCGAGTGCGCGACACAGCGCGGGCCGGACACTAGACACTACTGACCCGGCGGCGGCCGCGAGCGTGCGAGCCAGGTTGGCGGGCGCGGGCGGGAAGGGCGCGCGCACGAGCAGCGAGCGCACGTGCCAGTACAGCGCGCCCAGCCGCCGCCCGCGCCGCCACGCCACCAGCGCCAGCTGGTTGTACGGCTGCCCCGAGTGCGCCGACACCACCAGCGCGTGCCTGCAAACATACATCACTAGTCAATGAGGGCTTTTTTTCCTGTGATGCGGAACAAACAATTTTGGGGTGGGCTCCCAGACCATTAGCTAGCCAAACCATCAAAAACTGACCACAAAAGACAATGCCGGAAATTGGCGTCTTTTTTTTTCGCGCGGCCATCGACCAAACCTTGTTTTTTGATTACAAAATAGTGTAATAAACCAAACTTACTACGACATGTATACCTCTAAACTCAGTCTGAATTGAGTTACAAGCATTAGAAGTTTGATGATTTTACATACTAGATTTGCTTTTTGCGCGCAAGTTTTGTAAGAAATTGCAACAAAATAGTGACACTACAAATTACCTGTAGAATGTATGAGCCACTCGCAGCTGCTGCCTGTACCGCGCCAAGTCGCCCAGGTGTACTAAGCAGTGTTGGCAGATGTACCGAGCAGCGGCAGGCGGCGGTAGACGCGCGCCTCCGGTGGCCTCGCCCGCGCCCCAGCCTTCCACCCAGCCTAGCAGCGAGGCGCGTCGTCTGTTAAGATGCAAGATGTAATGTAAAAGTAGAATTCGATTGAAGATAGCGATACACTAGAGAGAACGCAGGAAGATTTAATGAAGGCTACTGACAACGCCACTTTTGTAGCGGAGTTTTGGGGTGACACTGTGTAAGTTTCTTGTCGACACGACAAGAAGAAGACTGGGGGCTTATTACTTATAAGTTAAAACCAGGATGAACATTGGTTTATTTTAAATGTCATTTTAAACTAGAGTTTAACTTTTTATAACTACGGTCACTTGTCTGTCGTGGGTCAAATGTCCCACGATAAGTAACGGCAACATGTCAACCAAAGTCGAGCGACAGTTGCTACGTCAGGTGAAGTCATGCGACCTCACTGGCGTCCCTTACACTGCTGCAAACCAAATATTTGAAAGACAAAACTACGAAGTATCACATAATAGTGTATTTTGTAGTTTGAAGTTTTATTAAATCAGAGCTATCAAACGATTTCTTTAACTATGTTTGCAACTAAAAGTGGCATTCAAATAGTAATCCTCTGTGTGCTTATCCTAGTTTACGTTAGGTGTGCTCGCTACCGAGTACGTCAAAAAAGTCTAGGAAGCGAGCACACAGATGAGACAGGGAGCACACCTAACGTAAACTCATGGTAGGCACACTGGTCACAACAAAATGTACCTGAATGGCAAGTCAAGTTTGAAGGTGGTGCAGATCTGATGGAGCAGGCAGAGGTAGAACCCGGCGGCGGCCTGCAGCACCCACGCCAGCATCGCCTGCCCTTCGCTGCGGAGATGGCTCTGCAACCAGAAAAGCAAGGACTTAACTGGGTGTCCGCTACCTAAGCTCTGCTTCAGGGAATCGTGCTCGAGAGACCCGGACCTGCCTGGTACTCCGATCTCGTCTCTTCGGAGGCGAACTTCGCCCGGCTGCGCGAATTTACGTACGGCTGGCATAGGAGGACCGCTAGCGCTGCACGGCACCAGATGGTGCCATCCGTGCCGTGAATGTCAGGCCCCAGAAGGGGGAAAACTGAACTATAGGGACAAGGACGTAGAAAAATAACTTGTAGGGAGTCAAGAAGTGTGGCGCGGTGGAGTGCAATCTGCCGTAGGCAGCCGCAATTCCGCGCACACCTCCCGCGATTCGGCCAGTATAACCGCAAGGTTGGTATGGCCATGGGTGGTGGTGGGTTGTCCGCTACCTAAGTAAACTCCAAACGTTATTTCAACATTACGTTACTCCAACAGTACTGAAAATCGACATGACTTAACTTCGACACTACACTACTCAGACAAAGGATATTACGTCTTTCTTACATGCCGAAGTAAAGTCATGTCGATATTTAGTAGTGTCGGAGTAACGTAATCTCGAAGTAACGTTTGTCGGAGTTCAGGTTTTGAGCCGTGTTGCGAACTTTTTGGATACTTTGGGTGTCACGAACTATTTGACGCTGATTGTACAAGCTAAGAATGAGGGCTATCGTTTTAGCGCTCACCAGTTAGCGCCACTGTAGAGTAAGGTCCTGTCACTTGCTAGTAGCGAAGACAGTGGCGCCAACTTGTGGGCGCTAAAGTGGTAGGAGTGCTATCGTATCTGCACTCATCAAGATGGCGCCACTGTAGAGTAAGGTCCTGTCAATAGCCAGGGGTGCCAACTGTTAAGTATAAAAACGATAGCCCTCATTGTGGCAATATAAGTAGTTGTAATAAAGGCAATATTGCAACAGAAATATGTAGTCGATCTCCTTGTGCATTGAGAACACCCAGAAAGAGGTTTTTTAGAGTGTTATTTATGCAAGTATTTATGTAACCAATTAATGAAACCTCATCTTCTGTACAGAATTGAAAAGTTTTCTGGCACATAAATGTCATGTTTACAATAAATTAATTCATGTAACAGCTCAAATTTTATTAATGATGCTCATTAATGCTATAATGTAAAATTTTGCTGTTGTATTATACAAATTCTTCTTGTGAAATATTTTTAAAGGCATTATCAAACATGCATTTCAAAATCATTAAAATTCTTCAATTAGCTAATGAACTTCAATTTCTTAACAAACCTACTAATTACCAGTAAAATTAATCTAATGAACATTACTACTAATGTTTTGTGTTATCTGATTTCAACATACATAATTAAAAATATCAAGATAGTTCAAAGTGCACATTTCTTTACTTTTACATTTTAGAATTATCAATTTTACAATTTATTACTAGTTTTTGTTCACAGCACCTATGAAAATTTGAATAGTTTTGCAAGAAAGAGTAACAAAATTACATTCTCATAAAAACACATTTTTAATATTAGTAGAATTGTACTAGACTTGCCTTCCTATCCTTCGAGATGGCTTGTAGTGCCTCAATTTGTTGCTTGAAGCCCACATTCCACAGGTCTTGCTCCACCTTCTTCTCCAGAGCATAGTCTAAGTCTAGCACCAGGACTTTTTGGTAAACCTACAAACAAAAAAATACACCATCATTAGAGAAAAAGGTTTGGTTACATAATAAAAAAACTATATGGGTTCCTTTTGTCAGGACTACAGAACCCTAAAAAGTGCAGTATGCTTTGCTTGTGCATCTCTAAAAATGTATGCAGGTTGAACCATAGGTGAGTGATCAAACAAAATGGCTTGATACTACTGAAATGCAACAACTTTTAAATTCCCAGGAAAATGGAGTTCACATCTCCCAAAAACTTAACCTCTTCAGGTTAATGTTAAAGGTGACTGAGTTTCTTCTGTCACTTCTATTCAGTACCAGCTTATAATAATATGTTGTCCTGATGTTGTGATAGGGCAAGCTATATTTGGGATGTGTATCATGTGTATAAGGGCCCTGGAAAGAGCCTAAGCACTGAATAAAAAACTTTTACTATTGACATGTTTTGTACCTTCTGTAATTGCTGTTGTGTGACCCACAGGCTTCGTTCCTGCAGCATAGAAGTTCCACTTTTGAATTTCAATATCTTCTGCTTCAATTCATCTGCCTCCCTGCAAAATTACTTTTAAAATTATATTTCTTGTTTAAGTTATAGAACTATCTACCTATAAAACTCAAGAGACAAATATTTAATTTACTTGCTTTTTTGGATATTTATAAAATTGGTAGAACATGTGTCTAAAATAATAATAGTTACACTTTTATGTGTGTACTAGAATACGCAGTTTTAAAAGTATGCTTTATCGATTTACAGTAGATAGGTTCATGATTACATACATAGAGGAATTCTATGCATACATAGCAGAAGCAAGTTTTCTACAGTCATCTCATTTGATAGTAGCAGTGTAAGTGTACACTAAGATATAATCAAACAAGACTCAGATTAACATAAGCCTTTTGCAAATCTATCAAACTATGCAAAATTAAGATGCCTGCTCTTCATATCCAACGGGGACAAGGGAAATCTATGAAAAACAAGGTAAAATTACGAAACATAGGTTAGATAAAATATAACAATACGTACCTCAGCATCTGCACAGCGGCGTTTAGAACCATGTTGATAGAGGCTTAGAGCCTCAGTAATTGTCATAGCATTAGGAAATAAACCAAACTAATGATACGGAACTATAAGAAAGGAAAAATACTAAAAACAATCGAGATCCATGCAATCTACCTGTCAAATAAAACCGAAATGTCACCAGACGTGCGTGACATTTACAAAGTTACCAATTAAAAAAAATTGGATTAACATTAAGATTAATGTGTGTAATTAAATTAACCAGAAAATTAAAGATTCCTATTGTAATAACGATAAAATAATTAATTAGTGCAATCGCTGTTGATGACAGGAATAAATTTGTGAATTTGTTCAGCCGAAAATAGCTCTAGCTTTTGCGCTAGTAAGAAAAATGGCGTCATTTTAGCCGGAAGTGCTAACACTGCTAAAAAATCGTAAAAAATGTATGGGGAAACGTCACTTTTGAAGTTAGCAAACGTATCGTCGCCAAAAACAAGCAAGTTTTCGGCGGTTGCCATGGCGATCGCCATTTTGCTAACAAGCGCTATTTTCGGCCAAACGCAGCCGATAATTATATTTATTAAATGGCAACATCGATATTTCCGGCTGACTGACCGACAGCTGACAGTGACAGTGACGGAAGGTAGATTTGTTAGTTCGTCATTTTTGGGATTAGTTTACCCTTTACTCAAAGAATACTTTTAATAATTTACTTTACTGTGTGTAATAATTCAATTCAAATGGAGGTGGAAAATAATGCAGAGCATGTGAGTATATTCATTGAAATTTTTCGGTTATTCCCATCTGATGACTAATACCCATCAATACTTAAATCCTGTAGTTTACATCACATATTTCACTATTGCACAATTTTTTATTTATTCTAATCTTGTGGCATCCTAAGCGGTCGCATGCGACTACGGTAACAAGTGATTTCTATTGTGTCTCGATTCGCTGGCACTCGAAGGGCTACTATGGCAAAGCGAGCGAAGTACTCTGTACGCAACTGATTTATGCAAGTTTGTACTCTTTCCAGGACTCTTAAAACCAATTCTAACTGTTTTTATTCTTTCTCCAGGATGCGCTCGACACCATTCATGGACACCGGGTGTGCCAAACGCGCGATGCCAAATGGTTGTGCCTGGACAACATCTACCAGAAGTTCCACCGGCCCAACTTCTACGACATCGGCGGCACCTACATCCAGGACGTGGCCGACTACTGGTTCATGTACAAGACCGAGCAGATGAGCAACATCTTCCTTCTCCACCTCTTTGTGTGCAACCGCCAGGAGTGCATGTTTAGTGTCGCCATCAGCCGCAACACTGACATGACTATAGACAAGAAAAGTTCATCAGTCTACCTCACACAATCCCTAAAAGAATACAAATTCGAGAAAACTAAAGAGATGACCCAGAATTATCTAACAACATACAGTTTTACAAACTTTGATATTGATCAATTGAAAAACAGATCTCTTTACATTGGCGTCTCTTTTAACTGCACAGATATTAAAGGACTCGATCAGAACTTGATAGACCAAGTTAAGTTAAACCATGATTTTGGTGCTCTGATGAGTGACCCCATAGGGGCCGACTTTGTCATAGAATCAGCAGACGGAGCCAAGTTCAAAGTCCACAAAGTGCTACTGGGAGCCCACAGTGAAGTTTTCAAGGCTATGCTGAAGGAAGAGACTGCTGAAAGCCAGAATGGTTTTGTGAAGCTAGTTGATGTGGATAAAGGAGACCTTCAATGTATCTTAGAATGCATCTATACAGGAACTATTAGAGACTTGGAGAATTGCAATTGTTTCAACATGCTGATGCTTGCAGACAGGTACAACATACAAGGCTTGAGAGAGATCTCTCAATATGCCCTTTCTCAGCAGCTGTCTGTAGACAATGCATTGGACACACTGATGGTTGCAGATATGTATAATTCAGAGATTCTAAAACTTGCTGCACTCAGATTCATAAAGAAGAATTCATCAGTAATACACTCCAGCACTTTCAAGGAAATCAAAAACACTGACCTAATGCGCCAACTGTGTGAATATCTCATCCCCACATAAATATTTTCAACCTTTTTGTAATTTTCTATTGCTGTGATTTAAATGTAATCATGCCAACAAACAATGTGATGTTGGCTAAATAAAATAATTAATGTATAAGTAAAATGTAATTTAAGAATGTTTTATACTCTACATGTAATTTAGGCAAAAAATCAAATGAAAAGCATATTACAGAAAACGTAAAAATAAACTTTATTGAATTTGAAACATAACTCTTTAATTGATTAGCTGTCTAAATAAGGAGTAATTGTTTAATAAATATATTATATTATTATTAATTAGTTAAAGTTACAGGTCGAGATAGCTTGTATTAGTACCGCGGCGCGGCCGGCGGGCAGTCGGCGGCAGGGCAGTGCCCTGGGGACGCACTCGGCGGGTATATAATCATTTTGGAATGTTACTGGAAGTCTTCGTTTCTGCGGCAAACAAACATTTTCTTCCATTAAAATGTTAGTTCACTAACCAGACGTCAACGTTTAGATATTGTTTATCGCATTCGAATGATTTCTGTTGAGCCATTCACACCATACTGGACTACAAAACAAACACAGTTTACAAAGCATGCCCATTCGGCAACAACAAAGCCCATTATTGTATGAATGGTTGTCTGTAGCTCTACTACTGTTATTCTCTATTAGCAGGTTGTACTCTTCTAGCTAAGTGTCTACTGCCTTGGAAATGTATTTCTTACAAATCGATTTGAAATACGATGTTTGAATGACTAGTGTTCGCATCATTTGTGCCGCTCAAAATTCATCTTTATATCGAATGCGTTCAGCAGAAGGAAACGTGGTTATCATGCAGGATAAGCAAGAAAAAAGGCCAATAGTTGTCATATTGTTTATTTAAAATTACTGGAACCGATACAGAAACGAAATAAAGTATAAATCTCACGTGGCAAACGCGAAAAGTGAAATGAATGTCTATGTTCTATCAATGAATGTTGGATATAAAAATAAAAACTTACATAACCCTAGACCTAATATATTTATTTATGAAACTACATTACATTATCGATCTTACTCGTGAATAAATATATCTGTCTGCGAAAACATGAAAGTCTAAACTGCGTGTTATTTACGCTGTTCGATGTCCGCGTGAGATATACGGTTCTAGAAAATGATGCTAGTTGAGCCGTCGCTGCTTTACGTTTCAATTTTATTTAAATGGATGGCAAATGTTAGGTGATGATGTAATATGCTCACTGCCACTAACAACTCGTGGCCTACATTTTGATTTGGATATGCCTTTTTACCAGGGTTTTTGATTTCATGAATTACGTAAATTATTACTACATTACATCTATGTGACATTGAATAAATGTTTTCATCATAATACTAAATATGTTATTTCATAGAAACCCCAAGGTTGGCTATCTCCAAAACAAATATCGAAAATGATTCAATAATGTTTATGTAGAGCAGCAACAGCCTATGAAAAATTAAAGACAATTTTAACGTATCTTATCATTTACTCCCACCTGCTAGACTTCTCCCGAACACAACGGGTTGATGTTTCAGGTTACAATGTTATTCGATACAGACACTCCTTGGCATACAGAGCTATGTACATGAAGTCCACGTCTTGTTACGTTCCATAACACATTCCTTATCCGGTCAACGAAAGCCAAACCGCCGGATAAGTTCCGAAGCTTATTACAAGCATGAAAGTTAGATTTAGAAAAGAAGGAACACAAAACTTCGCATTGCGAGGTGACAAGATAACTTGTGGTTTTGGCGGCGTTACCTCTGGTCGACGTCGCAATGTGAACGAGCTTAGTAGGCACGGATAGGTTTGAGATACCAAACTGACAACACCAAATTTTGACGGATCATACTTTCCACGTGTCGGGTGAGCGCTCGTCCGCGCCAGGGCACGCCTCGTATCGAAATCGAATGCATCTCACTAAGTTAAATTCCCACGACATGGATGAAACTTTGCGGCATCAACCGTTAACTTAGAATTTTAACACGACGTAAAATACTGTTAGGAGACTATTGAGTTCCACCTGCCAGCCCCCATATGACCCGACCCATATCTCGACTCGCCACTGAGAAACTGATTTTTCATGTATAAAATACATAGCAACTTTTCTGATGTCAAAAGTGTTAAGAATCGCGAGCACAATTTTGTGTCAAGGGTAGTGCAGTGGCACTGCTGTATAACACAGTTTCAGGTCCTCAAAGCGACGAATGGTGCCGAGAGTAGGGGTGTTAACCGGCGTTCGTTAGGTCCGGGTGCCCTGGCGCGCGGAGGTCTGTATCGTGGGGCGCGGCTAGCGTTTACCGTTGTTGTACGAGACACTCCGCAGTGGCGCCTTGAAGCTCGCCGCCGCCTGCTGTTGAATCTGGTACGCGAGCGGGTGGATCTTGAAGCCGTACAGTCTGGAATTAAACGGTTTATTTAATATAGATTTATGTTGGCATCATGGCACCTGGGAATCTCGCAGAAAGGCGGTTATCACACTGCGCCGCGCTCCGCCGCGGAGCGCGGGGCGACAGATTTAATCATTGTATACAAGTACCTCAGTTTGCACACTGACAACGCGTCCGCGCGCGTGATTTTTTATATGAAAATCACGCGCTTCGCGGCGGAGCGCGGCGCAGTGTGATAATAACCGCCAAAATGTAAGAACTCGCCTAATCTTCTCGCTCTAAAGTGTAAACGGGGCCTTATGTGCTAACTTTTGACTAAACCATACAGTAGAGGGGGAAGAGTAGACAGTTGTCTTTGTGTAGTGTGTATGATAAAACAACCGCGGATGATCTAACATAAACAGGCAAGATAATGCATAAATAATATCACAACAGTGATGTAATTAACATTTGTAACATGACATGTTGACAAATGAATTAACTCTAAAATTTTTATATCAGAGTAGATTTGCGACGACCTTGTCTTGACTAGTCAGCCATACAATGCATTATTCATTATCATGAAAATTTAAAGCATTGTGAAATGTAGTCAATTTCATTTAAAGGAGAACAAACATCAAAATGCTAATGTGAAGAAAAATTCATGGTAAGATTCAAATGCGGGATAGAGAACATCAAGCAACAGGTAATGTTTGTAGATATTGAGTCAGTAAAACAAAGTGAAATGTTTGTTTTATCGACTTAATAATGAATTCTGAATATGTACAGGGTGTTACTTTGCATTCTTGCCATATTTACAGAGGTGACTATATTACTGATACTGATCACAAATCCGTTAAAAAATAATGCCCGAAAAATTTTTTTTTTAATCTTGAGTTTTTATTTTATCGACAATCTGTTAAACACATCACTAATTATCGTAACGCATGCACATCACTTGTTGGCGATGGCGATGAAGACTTTTTTACTTTTTATTGTATTTTTAAATATCTTTTGCAATCTATTGTCTTTAAAATGTCTTTTTGACACTTGTAAAAAACTGAGAAATCCATCAATCACAAATCACGTTATAAATTATACAAAAATGTCTGAAGTGTATTCAAACAACGAATAATTTAATCAAAATGGTGCCTGGAGTGTCTGCAAGACGTCTTAGACGAAATGGTTGATGACGTACCCTTAGCGTTACACCAAATGCTCTACTAGCAGCAGGATGGTGCTCCCCCACAATAAGGACGTCAAGTGCGCGAATAATACGTTTGGTGAACAGTGGATTGGACGAGTGGTCCAGTAGCTTGTCCACCACGATCCTCGGACCTGACACCAATGGATTTTTGGCGTGACTTGAAACGACTGGTATGCGCAGAAGAGATACCTAAACAGTGTAAACGCGTTACATGAAAGGATTGTTTTAGTGAAACTGTGAGACAAAACGTTTATGTGTTGCGAAAACTAAAGCGGAATACCTACGCTTCGCCGTGCTAGACTGTGCCTTCATCAGAACGGAGGACACTTTGAACACTTGCTTTGCAGTACGTAAACTTTGTAAGTAGGAACTTATAAATAAATAATTAATTGTGAATAAGGTGATTTCATTTCATACTTAATTTATTAATTTGTAAAAATAGGGTACAATGTTAAAATTAATTAAAACCTTAATAATTATTACGTATTTTTGACGGTCCTAAGCCCGTGAAGTAGAAACTGAGAGTAGAAAGGAAAATCTGAAATCAACTGAAGAGTATTTTAAAATAATTATTATGACTGGATAAAAAGGCTAGTACCCAGAGCCATAAAACAACAGATTATTAAGAACTAGGCCACGCCCACTAGGTTTATTCCACTTGCACCTGTAGAACGTGCAAGACAAAATTGGTTTATTCCGATTTGTACTGAAAAACCAAATTTACTAAAATCTTAGTGTACTTTCTTTATGGGAGTCTCTTGTTTATCTTAAATAATAGGTATTGTTCCCTACTTTTATCTCTGTGAATATGGCAAGAATGCAAAGTAACACGGTGTATAACTAAAAGTTGGGAAAACTAATATAATGATAATAAAAATAGATAATCTTTATCTAGAAAACAGCATGATTATTGGTTATATTTTTATACATTATGCCACAAATATTTAATGTGGTTAAATGAAGGTATTTATAGTGGCAGTCTTGTTTTAAAATTATTTTCCTAACTGTGGAGAGTTTACTATTACTTTTAGCGATCCTGGGCACTGCTAGCTATAGCCACCATCACCATCATTTATGTTCGACTGGCTGCCGTAACCGTAAGAAAGTCGTGTTAGTTACACCACTTATAACTCAAGAACGGCTGAACCGATTTAGCTGAAAATTGTCAGGGAGGTAGTTTAGAGCCAGGAGAAGGACATAGGATACTTTTTATCCCGTTCGAAATATAAAAATGTCTGCTTATTTATTGCCATTAAGGTGGAACAAAGTTCGCCGGGTCAGCTAGTTTTATATAAAAGAAGCTACTTTAAGAGTAGTTTAATGCCCAAAAACAGATTGGCGGATCTAGATATTGTTCGACGACGACGACGGTTAATGAAACAATCTTACCTAGGCACGAACTGCGAGGCGGGGCGCTTGGGGCGGTACTCCGGGTGCACCATGAACACCATGTGCGGGAAGCCGGTGCCGAAGTAGGCGCCGTCCGTGTGGTGGTGCCGCGACGACTTGGGCGTGTAAACGTCCATGCAGCGCGGGCAGTACAGCTTCACCATCGCCTCGCCTGGCACGTCGGACAGCCCTGCCGGAGAATAATAGACAGAATATACTGTTAATTGTGAAAAATATAAAACGTTAAAATAGCGGTATCGTTATAGCCAATGAGCTGCTGTCATAGTGACATTGACGTATTGTCAATGTCACACGAGAATCAATCGTCAGAATAGAGGGACGCGCGGAGACGACTCCGCGCGCTTTTGTGCTAAGTGATGAATTGTAATTAAAATAAGGCAATATAATGTATAAGATGAGTATCCAGTGTTTTATTTATGAGAATAGATCGACCGGCCTCTAATAATACTTAAGAGCTTGATAAAACTACTTGATGCCCTAAGGGCGTCCATAAATTACGTGAGACAATTTGGGCTATTTTTCAACCCCCTCTCCCCCCTTGGTGAGATTTCATGAGATTTTGCTCAATCCCCTCCCCCTCCCTCTACGTGAGATTTTTCAAAATGCGTAATTGCAACGGAAATGAGTTAATATAAATGCTTCGATTAGTTAGTGCATTAGATTTATACATATTGTATAATCCTTTTTTAACTTAGTAACCTTTCGTAACGTATCATAATCGTTGTAGAATGTTAAAGTTGTAAAATTTTTATTTTACAGTTGCTTGCTAAAAAATATTACTTGATATTTGTCGAGACCCCCCTCTCCTCCACGTGACATTTTGTGAGGTATTTTTTCTTGACCCCCTCCCCCCCTAAACGTCTCACGTAATTAATGGACGCCCCCTAAGCCCTAAACAATCCACGCCTATTTATAATGTTTGCTTGTTCTTAAGTGTATATATCTCCAGTGTGAATTGCTAATTTTGGGACAGACTGTATAGTATTAGTATATATATCTAAATAAATAGATCTAAATTCCTGTTAGTGAAATAATATTATTAACCCGGCGAGGATATGGCTAAGTCAATCTGACCCCGCTCTTCCAATTTTTGTGTAAAGCCCGGTCCACTCACTGCGGGTGCCAGTCGCAGCAATATAATTACGCGTGATCGATAAGGATGGGTAGCTAGGGGTCATTGGCCAAAATTCTACGTGCTCACGGACCGGGCTTTAGTTGTTTATCCCGCAACCGTGTGCTGTTATACATCTCAGTAGCTGGAGTAATAGAAACTCCTCTCCCCTTTGCGCACCACTAGCACAGTAGATAAATCAAACAGTACGGAAGCTTCATACAAACGCCCGNCCTCATTGTATTAGAAATAATCAGGAGACACTGATATATCAACCTCAAGAAAGTGAATAATTTGATCGTAAAATACTCACTTGTTCAAGTTCGTCTTAAAATTACTAAATTATCAGAGGATAGTTGCTAAAAATAATGACTAAATCGTTACCTCTGGTTATTAAGCTATCATTTTTGCTAAACGAATGTAAGATATGCGATGACCCTTTTTGTCCAGCTAGATTGGGCTTTTGGTTCATAGTGCTCCTGTGCGGCGCTAAACTCGTCACGACATGCAACGTGACAATGGGCCAACTATCCGGCCGCCGGATATCCGGCTATCCGGCCTAGCAGCTCGCCGGATATCCGGTATCCGGTATCCGGCCAAACAACTATCCGTTTCATCTCTAGTCTCTATTGATAGTTAGCGATTGCTTCGCTTGATGGCGATTGCCTTGCGACTGATTTAGGACGTATATGTATATATTTTTTTAATGCTTCGTATTCGTTCGGTTTGCGCATACATCCAGTGTCACGTATTGCTATTTTTTCAATATCTTTGTGTTTATTAATTATTATTAAAGGTATTTTATCATAATTATGCAGCTCAATCTCAATGTAAACAAAATAAGGCGACTTGTTAGTAAAATTGTTCGTTTGACGTTTCAGCCAAATGACGTCTACTGCAGTACAAAGGGCTCCCAAGGATTGTAAAATAATGAACGCTCAAGTTTGCTCCGATATTAAAAGAGATCAAAACTCTTTATCGCAAAGCGAATCTTTAAAGGTATCCTTATAATTTTTTTCTTCAAATTATCCGACCAGCACACCTGACCCGTGATTCGCATTTTTGCTACTATTCCTAAAAGGGAAATGGATTTGCTAGGGGTCTGTTTAAGCTGGTCTTATTGGCCGGTCATTGACGAATCATCGAGGGTCTCATGTCAAAGGAAACGTGACAGCGGGTTCGATTCCCAATCGCTAACAGCCCGGTTTGATCCGGCTGACTTATACGTTTACTTTTAAAAGGGATTCAAGGTATTTCAGTTTTTTATGAACAGGAATTCGTAATTAAAAAACCTTTGAAAAGTTGGAAAGTTTATGCTTCGAAAGTTTTTTTTATGCATAACAAGGCAGGTATTTGACCTGCTATTTTATGTAATGGTAGTTAGAAGAGTAGTGCACAAATATCTCGTATAATGTATCCTACTAATCCTACTATAATATTATAAAGGCGAAAGTTTGGATGTCTGGATGTCATGATGTCTGGATACTCTTTAACGTAAAAACTACTGAACGGATTTTGTTGAAACTTTACAGTATTATTGTTTATAACCCAGATTAACATATAAGCTAAATTTATGTGACAAATACATTTAAATAAATAAATAAAATGTCTAAAAAGCGCTACCTATCGTCATTGGTTAAAATCTACAGCGCTGGACAAGTACTGTTTTTGACATTCGTAAATATTCATGCCGTGAAACGCCATCTATCAACATGATATCTAACGGGGGTAAAACGAGGTCCACGCGTACGAAGTCGCGGGCGGCCGCTAGTTAAGAATAGTTATCATAATTTGAATTAACGGATATCTTATCTCTAGTGTCCGACCGAAACTAGTTTTACGACCGAAACCGAAACCGAAAACGAATTTCGGCAACGGTGTCTATTTCGGCCGAAACCGAAACTTCCTTACAAGGCTCATATTTTAAGGGAAAAATAAAGAAAACGTTATTATAATCAGTCAGTCTTTATTGTTTTCTCTTTGAATCACATAGATTTTCATGGTAAGACAAGTGTAGTTTCAAACCAGTAATAGTTTGCCTAGAATATAATTTATTGCACTGTTCACTTAGCTTTAGATAAATCTGCGTTTAAATTAACGATCAAATCGTTATCGTTTTATGAACTCCGTACACAATTAGAATTAGCCGTTTGACACATCATAACGTACGTTATGAACTGTCAAATGAATACGATTGCCTTACACAATCGCACCACTGATGGTTGGATCGCCTTGTCAACAATGCCAGCTGCGTGTTGCCAGTGTTGATATATGGATNATCTCTAATGTATACCACCAGTTAAAGCTGTAAATCATAGCTATTTAACTTAACCTTCAAAATTGTGTATTCTCCATAATATTACTTTTGTAAATGTACTGGAATCAAGAATCTAACTTATCAGCAGAAGCTTAAGTAACAATATTAAAAATTAGGGTCATTAGATAATATTAGGTAGGCACAGATTAACATGCTAATTTATAAACAATGGAAGCCTCATGACTTACCTGGCTCAAGATCCAAGATCATGTCCAGGGCTTGCCTGTAATGCGGCACCTGCTCGTTGAGGCCAGTCAAGTTAAATTTATCATTTATGTAGTCTTCGTCCACCTAAAATACATGAGTCGGATCAATATCTACCTTCAGTATCACACACCCAAATTAATATCCACTGCACTCACCTCACAGAAAAATTCATTGCCCCGCAGTGTGCAGAACCATGAAATCCAGGATACCTCCTCCGAGCTGCTCATTTTTCTAAAACCAAAAAATCACAGGCTATTTCCTCCGTAATGGTCACAGCATTTGTTACCCAAATGCACACTTTTGTCTTTTTCAATTTGGACACATTCCTATCTTTTCCGAGAATATTTACCACTATGGCAGACACTTGATTATTTTTAATTTACTAAGAATTGAAATATTGAAGTAAATTTGGATGAATTTTCTACGAAAATACTGAAAATTAAATCTTTGGTGACAAACCTTTTCGTGCCTTGATTAGCCACGCTTGACGGATGAGGAAACGGGATGTGGGACTGTAAGAGCGAGAAAGATGAACTTCTGTCAAAACTTCTATCTTTGTTTATGGTAACTCATTCGTTGGTTTCTTTGTGGTGTTGGTATTAAAATTAATTGTAACCATTCATTCAATTTTCTAGCGTCATTCTATTGTAAACTTTATGTGTTACGTAATAAGCTCTCAATTAATTTACCGTATACATTAGGTACAAAGAACGTACAGTCGGCATACAAAAAAAAAATTAAAATTCACAGAATGGAATTTTGAAATGCCATCTTGAAATGAGCATTCAAATATTTCCAAAAATTTTAATTATGATTTATCAATAATTTAAGATTTCATGGTTTTCCTTTCATTTAATGTATTATGTTTGTTAGAGAGATTTCATCCTTTTACTGAACCCTAACGATCGATGCAATAAAAATACAGGGTGTAATTTATAACAGATTTTAGTTGGTTTGATTCCCGGGTTCGGCAAGCAAATTTTTGGAAATCTTTGAAAGCAGTTCTATTTCTTTTCAAAAATAAAGGAATGTTTTCTTGAGAAAAAAAATATAAATCTACAATATTAAGAGTACTTTCCCTCCAGGTGACATTAAGTAGGTTACATAGATTTTCTTACGACCACTCGTCAGCTTTAGACTGTTGAAATATGTTATTATAACACATTTGAAAAAGATATTTAGAAATGAAATCCAATAGTCACATAAGTAAGTGTTTATTTTATTCATAAAATCATACATGGATTTTTTAAGAATTAATAATACACATTATTTTATCTATTGTAAGAGTTGAACCTAAACATCCTGAATAATTAATGTTGTTTCAAAAATCACTTAAATTCTTAGATACCTCATATAGTTATTTTAAATAACTAGCTGACCCAGCGAACTTTGTTCCGCCTTAATGGCAATAAATAAGCAGACTTTTTTTTTATTTCGAACGGGATAAAAAGTATCCTATGTCCTTCTCCTGGCTCTAAACTACCTCCCAGACAATTTTCAGCTAAATCGGTTCAGCCGTTCTTAAGATATAAGTGGAGTAACTAACACGACTTTCTTTAATATACATATATAGATAGGTAAAGTTTAATGCACCAATATTGAGGTATGAGCTTTGCTCAAAAAAATTTTGAAATGTTATTAATACCTACTTGTAACGATGACTTCCTAGCCAGTCACAACACATTTTAAAAATACGTATAAGTACCGAAGAAACTTAAGAGTAAGAAATGCATGGCAAAATATATGAGTCATAGATTATTATCGTGAATTTAAAAAAAATATCTAGGATAGATGTTATCAGTTTATCATAGCTTAAAATTATATTTCAAATATTCTTAATAAAAAAATAATTTTAGGTACTTCCTTGGTTACTGAAAATTTGGTTATTTATGTACAGTACACTTCATTTTAAAGTAACCAAGGAAAATATTCTCCAACTGGCGAAACAACCACACAAAGTACTATTTACTACATAGAATTATAAATTAGACCTAAATTATTTTACAGATAGGAAATAATATTATGATTAATTTTTTAAACTTACACAACTCTTATTACTTATCACAATAATTGGTACTTAAACCCGTTGTACAATAATCTAATTGATTTTGCAACGAGAAGCAGGCATGTGTCATTCTTTCGCATAGATGTGTTCCAGCAGCTTTTTTGTAAGTTCTACATCTTGTAATTTCTCCCAGCTTTCCGTTTGCATTACCTTAGGATTGTCTTTTATAAAAGAAAATACTTTTAATTGAAGCTTGCTCAAATTATACTTACGAGCTATAACAGCAATGTTTATAGCATTTTCAACATTGATTTGTTCACCGATAGCATATTGTGTAAGTAAAAACAAATTTTCGAGTTGAAATTTGTCTGCAATTTTCAATAAATTGATGCAATTTTGTTTTATTATGTCTTTGATAGTACCAGTGTATAGAAATTGAAGCAATAGGTCCATATCATGGTCTTGAATATCAATAAATAGAGAATCACTCTCTGAATCTTTTATCAAATTCCGTAAATTAGGACTGTGAGCAACAAGAATGATTTTGTGAGCTGGAAACTTTTTCCCGCTTGCAGATGTCAATATATAATCTGTCTTTTCTTTTTTCGAAAGAAGTCCACTCAAGTCGTGATGGAGTTTGATAGACATAATAACGTCGTTATTAAGGCAGTTGCTGGAGTTCATCATAATGGTGGTAGGAATGATAAGAGCGCCACGGCCCACNTGAAACGACGAAATGATCCCAACTCTCCTTCATATTATCTTAAGTCTCAGTTTAACCTTCTCAGCTCTACACACTCACGTCAGCTCCGCTCCTCCAACAAGTCCGTTCTTTCCACTCCTCTTCACCGAACTGGTTTTCTTTCCGACTCCTTCCGTCTCCAGGCCATAAGGCTCTTCAAATTTTTTATTTGTAAATATTTGTAAATATTTACAGCCTTACTTATAAACGTTTATTAAAATTAAGACACAGTTTAACGGTCTATTAAATAATATCTTAACTTAAAAACGATAATTAGTGTTAACCAACGTCTTAGTGACTGCTTAAATAACTGTCAAGTTAAACAGCGTCGGACCCTTGTTTAAAGCCCTAATTACCAAAATGGCGGATCAAAAAGTTAACAGCTGATGCGTGACGTGCCATGCAACGCGCTGTGTTGCTGCGCTGCGCGAAGATACACACATACATTTGTATGATACATTTGTATTGTTCTTAATCTCTTAATTCTATACTTTTAACAAGAAGGATTGACCTATCTTTCGCCACAACTAATTGTTGTAAATAAGTAAATAAAATTGGCTCTGATCGGATTCATTCACTCATTCAACGCCCCGAACATGACCAATAACAGCGCGGAAACTCCCGAATGCACATTCGGTTTCGGTCGTAGTTTCGGCAACTTTGCCGCCGAAAACGAAACTAAACCGAAACTCGTGTTTTTACCGAAACTCAACCGAAAACGAAACCGAAACCGAACATTCGGTCGGACACTACTTATCTCTATAAACTAACAGTTCTCGCGGACTTCGTACAAAAATAGGGCCAAGATCCAGGATCCAAGATCTTCGAATCCGTCCAGTAATTTCGAAGCCTATTCAAAAGAAACATACAAAGTAACAATCAAATCTTTCTAATAAATTGCTGAAAACTGCATTAAAAGTTGCGTAGTTAAAGAGATTATAAGCGAACAGACAACGGGACTTTGATTTATGTTATGAAAATTCATACTAAATGCTAAAAATAATATGAAATACGAAGAAATGATTCACAGCTGTTATCAACGCGCTCACAATCAATGCCATTGTTAAACGGTTTTATTGTTAATTAAAAGTAGGTAATTTAATACAGTTAAGATTTTGTGTTAAAGCTGTTTTAATTTATGTTTTTATTAATTAGAAACTTAAACAATACTAGCTGTGCCCGCGACTTCGTACGCGTGAAAATTGTTTGAATAATATTTCCCGACTTTGCAACATTTTTCTTTACTGCTGCGCCTCTATTGGTTGTAGGATGATGTTAAATAGCCTTAAGTCTTCCTTGATAAATGGGCTATCCAACAAAAAAAAAATTCAAATCGAACCAATATTTCCTGAAATTAGCGCGTTAAAGCAAACAAAAGAATTTCATATAGATAAGCTTTTTGTCCCATGAGTCAAATATGACACATCCATTGTGTTTTGTTTGTGGTCAAAAGCAAAAATCTGCTTCTTCGTAAATTTTAAACATAAATGAATAAGTGCATGAACTTTGGTCAGACATAAATAGAATTTTGCGGTCTTTATCTGGAGCGAAATGATGACTCTTTATACAGGCTGATGTTTTTTAATGTAATTTTTAGTAGTGATATTGTGACACCTAGATTTTCACAAACCAATAATGTTTGACATGTGCGAACGAGTATAATTATCCTTTTTGATGGCTTCTAATTTTCCTAAATGAGAATAAGTCGCTGTTTGGAATTAGAAAAAAAAAGAAATCAGGTTCATTTCGCCAGTTTAAAAATAGTAAGAATAAATTATACTTCGAAGTTTATCTGTCAAAATCCAGGTTTACATAGAAGGCATTTGGTTTTATTTAAAATTTCGAAACCAGCATGCAATGGTGCCTGACTTTGTTAGGGTGCTTATTCGCAGCTCTTATCAAAAATTATCTGGAAGCACTATCAGTCAAGGCAAAAAAACATAGGCTCCTTAGGGGAAATAATGTGCGATTTTCAATTTATTCCTAATTTTTTGTCCAAGTAAATTAAATGGATTTCTCATAACAATTATAAAATGTGAGTATATAAGTTCCATTATAATATTATTTGTAATTTCCGTAACTTTATTGAACACCATGTATTATCTACTAGGATAACAATATCCGTTGTGTGTGCCAATGTAAAAATGGCCCATTTATCATTCGCTCTTGCATTTGCGAGTATTTCACATAATTTTTATGAAAGTATTTTTTATTTATCGATGGGCTGAGCCAGAATAAACTTTTATTGTTAATACATTAAATTACTGTGCAGTGTCAGTTATTGGAACAAAAATGTATCGATGGATTTTATGGTGTAAGTTGTTTTTTTTTGTGTGCAGTTTTTAAATACAATGGATAATTGGTTGACCATGTTAGTGAATTTAGAAAAGTAATAAGATATCATAAATATCAAAACTTCATCAACATCATCATCATCTCACCCATAGGATGTTCAGACGTCCAGTCCACTGCTGAACATAGGCCTCCCCCAATGCTCTCCTGCTACCTTTACGATGTCGTCGATCACAACTTATTGGAATTATATTAAATTTCATTTTATTGTCATCGTATTTAACGTACTGAATAAAAATGGTAGGCAATTGCAATTTAGAGTAATAATATTACAACACACGAACATATTTATTGCATTAAAATACTTATCACAGTAATAATATTCATCCTTGAGTCCTTCATTTTTTCGTTAATAAGTAGGTATAAAAATATTATTTTGTGCTAAAAAAACTTAATTCTTTCATAGCCATAATAATAATCAGTGGTAGAATCACAGGTTTAATGGTTACTTTTTACCAAATATTAAAACAATGCCTCAAATCCTCATTTTTAAACTAACATAGAAAGACACGGATCTTAACGCAACATTTAAGACTGAGTTACATTATGTACTCACGGCTTGACGTTACGGCTGCAATGCTGCAGACGTACGTGGTCACAAGCAGACTGGCGGACTCTCTATTTTAGTTTGAAACGGAACACGAAAGTTTAAAATCTTATATCCTCATTTTTACCATCGATAACCTAAATGTAACGATAATATTGAAGATATTTGATGTCAACTACATCTATTTTAATTCAATTTTAAGGTTCCCTTGTGGCCTACTTATGGTGCAAGGTTTCCGGAAACTGTGAAACCGACCACATTCTTGATGACTGCCAATTCACCGTGACATGTTATGGGAACGCTGGAACCATCTACGTACGGAACAATTGTAACGACGATCATAACGTGACGTTTGTCATGCAAAACTCCAACGCAGCGTATATAAGCTTTGGTTTTTTCAGCAGAACAAATTTTGATCAAAGAGTACGGCACTTCAAGGCTATTGGAAACATTTGGGACCACGTTGCACCAAGCGCATTCAAGTATTACAGAGAAATAATAACAATGGACCTCTCACAGAATCATATTTCTGAAATTAAAGAAGAAGCATTCAGAGAACTTGTGAATATGAGACAACTTAATCTGTCAGACAACTCGATTAAGTATTTGGATGATAAATCATTTGAATTCGCGGCAAACACCAAAAATTCTTTGGAAGTACTAGATCTCTCTAAAAATTTACTTACTACAATAAACAAATATGTGTTCTCGAGTTTAACAGAACTAAAAGTATTACTGCTACATGATAATCAGATTGAAACGTTGGAAAGCATGAGTTTCTTTGCATTAAGACAACTGATTTATTTGACTCTTTATCACAATAAGATAAGTAGCATCAACACAACACTCGTCACAATGGGAGAGTTGAAACATCTTGACATGTCCAGAAATTTAATAAGCAGATTATCAGCAATCGACATGTTACGTCTAGGATCATTGAGACATTTGAATTTGTCACGAAATACTATTAAAACCATTGAATCAAACTGTTTCATTAATGAATTTAATTTAGAAACATTGGATCTCAGTTACAATATAATTCAAACACCCATTGAACAACAAATGTTTAGATATAATCGCAATTTGACTTATTTGAATTTATATAATAATCACATTTCACGACTAGGGGACTCGATTTTCAATAATACACAACTTAAGTATTTGAATATAGAAAATAATAACATAACAGGGGATATCACGTCAAAAACATTCAGTGGGCTCCATAATCTGACAAGTCTGAATATAAGTCGTCAACATATTAAAATATTAAAAAATAACTCTTTTTCGGATATCGAACGATTAAAGTATTTAGATTTGAGTTGTAATGCTATTGAATTGGTGGAAATTGGCAGTTTTGATAATGCCAGAGCCCTAGCCGTATTGAATGTTTCGCATAACTTAATACAAGACATGACTTTTGTGAAATCGTTATCCAGTACCATCACTGCTTTGTATATTAACAACAATATGATTACAATTGTCCCAAAATATTTGTTCAGTAATTATTCGCAATTGAAAACTTTGGATATTTCTACGAATATGATAACCACAATCGAATCATATGCACTGCCTTTGTACAATATTCAAACTCTTATTTTAAATAACAACAATCTTAGTGAAACGTTGGTCGGTGGTGTTTTAAGTCCGGCTAGATTGATAAAAAGTTTAGACTTGAGTCACCAAAGTTTGAAGCGTATAAACGAATCAGCATTTAAAGGTCTACCATTACTTGAAAGTCTTGATTTATGTGACAATAATATAGAATACATACACGTACACAGCTTTATTGATGCAGATAATTTGCGTACTTTAAATCTTTCTAAAAATTCACTTTCAAGCCTAGATATTAAAGGTAATCTGAATCGCTTGACGAGCCTTATTCTAAGCAATAACAAGTTAACATCGATTCCAGACATAAATAAGTTTGCTAGTATCTTCCGGATTTATCATCTTGATATTGCATACAATAACATTTCTGATTTAATGTATCCTTCTTTTGAATATATGAGAAGCTTAGAGATTCTAAATTTATCACACAATAATATTTTGCATTTCAACAATCAATTTTCTAATACACTATCTAAACTGTCTGTACTGAACATTGCATCAAATCGACTAAAAGAAATTAATGTAACCTTTTTAAGTAATTTGACAAGTCTTAATATAAGTTACAACGATATTGCTAGAATTGATGTTACACAATTTCAAAATCTAAATTTTCTTAAGGTTCTTGATTTAACAGCAAATAAGTTAACAGACATAACACCAGGGACATTTCAATATCTCTCATCTCTCTTAATTTTAAGAATATCTGCAAATAGTTTAACTAATTTACGTTTTGGTACATTCAGGGGCTTGAACAATACCTATTTAATCGATATTTCTATGAATAATCTGAGATCAATCAACACAGATATTTTCCATGAATGTTATGAACTAAAACAAATTGTTATTGATTACAATAATATTTCAAGTATTGATATAGAAAGGCTTGTTGAAGTTGCTCCAAAACTAGATAATATTAGTTTAGGGGGTAATCCAATTGCATGCGAAGAAATCGTTAGGAACAAAAAGAACGTGTATTTGAGAAAATTTGAAATAACTTCGATACATAAAGTTTATCATGAAGACAATGTTCACGGGATAAAGTGTGGGGAAATGAACAAAATTGTAGAAAATAACAATGTCACAACTGAAGTTGCTGTAGAAATTGTTACTGATGTACCAAAATCTAATGGAGTTTCTTTTTCAGATGTTTTAATAGTTTGGTGTTCAGTGTTAAGTGTATTGTTGGCAGTAGGCCTGAGTGTTGCATACTGGCGTTATAGAAAATTGTCTAAGTTAAATACAAGTGACAATATAATGCAGTTTCAGAATTCAGTCGGTTCCAGAAATTCTGAATGTTACAATGACTTGCTCAGCTAATTGCTTTATTGTTGTTATTTTCTAAGATTACTTCTGAGATGTAATATCTGTGATTGAAAAGTGTGCTACGATTAGTCTTACTTAAGTAGGTATTAATGTAAATTAAATTAGTTAAGAACGTAAATAAATATTGTTAAGTGCCCTCAAATTTATTTTGTTTAACCTCCTTAAAATTATGTTGATCTTCTTATTGACAGTGAATCGTCATCATCATAATCATAATTTCAGCCATAGGATGTCAACTGCTGAACATAGGCCTCACCCAATGATTTCCATAATGACCGGTTGGTAACGTCCTGCATCCAGCGCCTTCCAGCCATCTTTGTAAAGTCGTCGGTCCACCTTGTGGGCGTGGACGTCCTATGCGAATGAAGGTAAGTTCATATTTAAATAAATATTTTATGTGACCCTCAACAACGTGATCAACTGTGGGCAAAAGCTTTTAAAAACGTTACACATACTGGAGACCTCCTTATAGTATATGAGAAATAGTAAATGTGTTAGGAGACATTACATTGTAAGTATGTTTTATTGTGTAGACGCGTAGATAGTACGCTAGTGTATAGTAAATAAACTAAATTAAACCCCATTTTATGTAACAATATAACGGGAGTGTAAAGCCTCATATACGCACAGACAAATGTCTTCTTATCCTAATCCCTATCTGATTGATCCAATAATATTAGCTGTGTATATTGCTATAGGAATATTTCACGAGATAATGAACCTAAGTCTGGCGAGATAAGGGCTGATTTAGCGGATCACAAACATGTTATGCGAGTGGGGTAGGTATTTCATTGGACGTTTATTGATATCGTGTGATTGGCGCCGAATGGTTATGGATTTGCTACGGAATAAGATTGCCTTACAATATAGGTAGTGGGCTAGATTCCAGGACTCTTTGTTTGTTGATTGTTGCTAAGGGCCCTTTTTCCCGGCAATAGTTTTGCGGGATCTTGAATCACTGGGTCCAGCAAAACTGGACTTGTGTGCTCACTGGTCAGAATCCCGTTTTTCGCGCTCAAATGTTTGCAACAAATGTACTCGTATGTAAGAAGCTGCTAGTGGGAATACATGTGCTTGTAATGACACTTTTTTTATTTTACTAATACTCCCGTTAGCCCCTCGTACTAAGCGAAATATGCCTGTGTCACGAGTGAGCTCACCACAATAGTCAAGCGGCAGCGGGGACCGAACCCGCGTTCCCCGGAACAAAAATTGACCAGTTCGACCCCTTCACCGTTCGGCTATCGTGGTTTCTAAGAATATTATCTAGATCCTGGTTTTTACTGGTCCAGTATAATGACAAAGCTGAACTCCAAATTCGAATGGATCGGTTCGGGACACTGCAAACGGGTTGTTCATCCAAATTCAATCAAGATAAATTGACTGTATTTCTCGTAGTAAATGTATCTCAGAAAAAGCAGAAAAGAGAAGAAAAAGCAAGAAAACAGTTATTTAAGCCAACCAAAGTACGAGTAGGTAGGTATATTTTTGACTATTAAAGGTGTAGTGTAGAATACACTTCAAAAAGAATACGTAACAAAAGAAAAAGAAAAGAATAAACAATTATCAGAAAATCGCTGGTGGAACTGCAGATAACAAGCAAATCTCCAAATCTTAGTAGATAATATTCTTACGTCCTCAAAATAGACTATAGAAGCAGAATGCGATGGCAAACTTTAATATTAAACGTCCAATTCTGGATCCCTTTTGAGATTAGAGGCTCAAATATAATTAATTTGTGCCCTTTAATTTTGTCGCGTAAGAAATTTCCGTTGTTTTGCTTAATTGAGTTTTGATTTTAATGTCAAATGCAGATGGTTCAATCTATGTCAGTGGACGATCCTACTAATATATTATAAAGGCGAAAGTTTGGATGTCTGGATGTTTGTTACTCTTTCACGCAAAAACTACATACTAAACGGATCTTGTTGAAACTTTACAGTATTATTGTTTATAACCCAGATTAACATAAAGGCTATAATTTATGACGATATGTGACAAATTTTCAATAAATAAATAAGACGTGTCTAAAAAGCGCCATCTATCGTCATTGGTTAAAATCTACAGCGCTGGACAAACTATCTACTGTTTTTGACGTTCGTAAATATTCATGCGGGAAGCCGTGAAACGCCATCTATCAACATGATATCTAACGGGGGTAAAACGAAGTCCACGCGTTCGAAGTCGCGGGCGGCCGCTAGTGTTGGAATATGGAATATTATGAGAGTGTTATGACAATGGAGCAATTTAGTAATTTGTTTAGTGACATGATAAGCTCTAACTTTTGGCTTTGGTCTCTTAAAAACGCCATAGGCCGCATACAGCGTCAAGCTCATAGTAGACTTAGGCTCAGTTGCACCACCTAACTTGACCGTAACTTTAACCGATAACCGGGGTTTTTTGTATGGAGTTTGACAGATTTTTGACGTTTGTCAAAGCTAAAGTAAGATGGTGCAACCCAGCCTTACAAATCGGAAAGTGATCAAACACCGTATAGCCTTTCGCGTGCTGTCAATTGCTAGGCGAGGCGTTTACATAATAAAGTAAAGTAAAGAAAAGTGATAATTTTATTGTGGTCTTTTTCAGGTCTTTTTCTTTGAAGAAGAAGATATTTTATCTTCACTAATTTCATCATCATCACAACTATCTTACATCCTCTCTAACTTTCCGCATACCGTCTTTACTTACTACATATATTACTGAGACAACACCAACAATAACTGAAAGTTTTTCCAAAATCTGGAGATTCAGTTCAAAAACAAACAATTTAACGTCTGCTCCTGTAATATTTCCCGGATATCTTACCAGTTGAACGGTTACTTACTAGTTTTACTTCGCTAGTATCTTCCCTTGAAATCTAGGCCAGGAGACAAAGTAGCATGTATTTAATTTTCACCTTCTTCATAATAAATACCTATCAATTAAGTAATTATATTTTTAGGTTTTGATCACGATCTAATTTATTCGTATACGTTTTACTCTCCTCGCCCTACCATCATTCTTCATTTACTCATCCGGAAAAATCAGGTAGGACACTAAAAACCAAACAATAAAATTTTTGAAGTAAGTTAGTCAAAAATGTCTTTACAAATAAATGCCCTACACCAGTGGTTCCCAAAGTTGTCTGGGCTACGACTCATCTAATACAAGTTCACAAAATTGGGACCCCACCTATAGGATTAGGAAATTTCGCCCGATGCCCAGCGGTTGGATCGGTAGGGTGGTGTGTCGTTCTACAGGCAGGGCCCACTCAAAGTTCGCTCGCGACTCACCCTGCCCTACACTGTTTTACCTTTACATACCTATATCTCTGTAATATTTTGATTTGTTTAATGTCTGTAATGTTTTTAGTCGATCTACTATCCCCAGGACTGTAAGTTTGGCCACTTGCCCGTCCTCTGCTATATCTTAGGAAGTTTAAGGTCAAACTAAGGATTTATGGTTTATTTTATCAACACCTCACCGAAATTTCTAATCCTAACACTCGAAATCAGATTGCTGTTAATATACACCACTTAATCCATAAAGCTCAAGTTGCACGATTAACCATCGAGTTTATATGGGTCAAGGCTCATGTAGGCATTGGTGGTAATGAGGCAGCTGACTTAGCTGCTAAGGCTGCGGCTTCATTGGAGACAATTCCCGATTTTAATAAAGTTCCTATAAGCTACATTAAACACAAAAATAAAATAATATCAGAACAGGAATCCAAAAAACTCTACTCTACACCAGATAATTGCGCGTACACTAAATCCTGGCTCCCTTCGTATGAAAATCTTATCGAGTTCATATCACATATCAAACCCTCCTTTTCTATTACTCAGTTACTCACAAACCACGGATACCATAAAGAATACCTCCACAGATTCAAGATTACTGACAATGACACATCGATACCTCTGGGCTCAAAGGTCGTAAAGGACAAAATACCGAAAATGAGTTATTTATACAGTTTTACTCAGAATTTAATTCTCTATCGATCTGTATATTTAGTTTGTAGAAATTCCCAAAAAAATTGCCTTTACGACCCATCATTTTTGATAAGCTAAACAGAATTCATCGTGAAAATTGGGATGTAAATACCATTTGATTTTTTAGAACAGTTACCATGGTAGTAAAGAACAAGTATACACAAATTTTTGGGCGTATAATGTACATGTAGTATATCTATTGTCCTATACAACCTTACATTTTCATACCCAAGTCTAAATTATTTGTCCTTTACGCTTTTAGATTATCTAAACAAATATTTAAAAAAATCTACACAGTAAGGATATTAAAATAACTGTGAAGGTAAATTTTATAGACGTTTCTTATAGTATTTAAGTATGTGCGTTTGGAACAAACGAAAGAACCTAAAAAATCATCAAAAATATATAATAAAACTATTTTAGAGTGTAATTTATGTGATTTATACATATAAAATGATGACATCTACCCACATCGGGTAAAGTAATGTTGCTTTTTATTATTTCTCATATTTGAAGAAACTAGGTATTTGTCAGGTAAAAGATAATTATTAAAAGATGATTTAAGAAAATAAAAACATGCTATAAAATATAGTTCGAAGATATCAAAACTTCTATTTAAATAGTTTCATAAGTTGTGTGCATTAAATTATGAAGCTACTGAAAATCATTTTATTTCATTTAAAAGACCATAATTCATTTAAAATATGTGAAGAAATGGTATAATACATATGAAATACCATAAAATATTAAATATTTAAGCTAAATCATCAATTTACCCTTTCATAATACCTTACCTGGGTGTCCCGTTACGACCCATGAAAACCTACAAAACTATGTAAATTGTCATTTATACCTTATACCTTAGTTTTGTAGTTTTGTGAAATAAAAATAGACTTACGACCTAAGTAACTTGCCTAGGACGAATATTTGAGGGGCGTAAAGGTCTTTTTATTGTAATTTTGAGGGCGTAAAGGAAATCTATCTCAGTAAATACAGCTCTAGTCCAGTTTTTCAATACCTCTTCGGAAAATGCTGTGAATTCTAAGCACTTTCTTCATAAGTCATAATTTAATAGCTCAAAAAACAAAAAAGTTATCGTCGACTAAAAAAATAAAAAAACGTTTTTTGCTTCTCCTGAAAAGTCGTACTTTGTCCTTTACGACCTTTGAGCCCAGAGGTATCGAATGTCCCTGTGATAATATAACCACCCAATCAATGTTGCATCTCGTTCAGGACTGCCCAAGATTTCAATCAACAAGACTTAGCCATAATATAGTTTGCCAAATTTACAACATCGACCCATTCAATTTCCAACAAATTATAACCAAGCAAGATTCCATAACAACATTTACCACCCACATTGAAAACATAGTTAGCAACCTAAAATCTTTGACCAATTAAAATTCTAAATCACGTAGGAGAGAGCAACGCGTAAACCGATAGCGCCGCGCTCTCTGAAATTAAAAATGCCCAAATTAAAAAAAAAAAAAAAAAAACATACGAAATCGTACCCTGAATATTGAACCGCGTCGATTTTATTGCACCTATTATTTCCTAGTTTCTCTTCTTTCCCGGATCCCATTTCTTCTAACGATGGAAATATTTTATGATCTTATTTTTCACCAACTCCGCTGTTTGCGTGTAAAAATTTTTAGGTGACAATTTTGAACCTTCGGAACTGAAAATCTTAAGAAAAACCACGACTTGGAAATCATCATCACAGTTTTTTAGAATCAGTTTAGCAATTCAATAGCCATGGGAACATTGAGTCTTCCTAACTTAGGCCAGCGTGAGGAGGTTATAGCTTACAACAAGTAAATTCTTCATTTGCCTCTAGTAAATTAAAAATCAAAATCAAAATTATCTTTATTTGTTTAAAGTAATTAAATTAGCGTTAGCGTGGGCAGGCCTCCCACTAGGTGGACCGACGATCTGGTGAAGGTCGCGGGAGGTGCCTGGATGCGAGCGGCGCAGGACCGGTCTTTGTGGAAATCCTTGGGGGAGGCCTTTGTCCAGCAGTGGACGTCTTACGGCTGAAACGAACGAACGAACGAATTAAATTAGTACTTACAAATCGTCAATTAATGCTCTTAAGAAGCCTATACATGTCTCATTCTTTTTTGCCCTACCAGCGCATTAGAAAAAGTCGTCCTTTTACAATGAAGACCTGACCTGAATGATGATGTACAAACTTACTCCACTATTTTAGAAACTTTTTTTTTATCCACAACGAGGAAGCTCTTGGCCTGTTTGTAATGGTAAGTGATGATCGGGCCGAAAGTGGAAGTGAGCTTCACCCGGAATCCTCAACCACGGAGGTACTGGCTATCTTACCTCTAACTGCCGGAACACAACAATGCTGTTAACATTTTGTTATGGCGACAGACTTAGGTAAGATGATGGTAGCTAGCCAGGTGGACTTGGAACAAGCCCTACCACCAACCAAACCGAACAGAAAATTCTGCCCCCACTGGGAATTGAACCCAGGACCTCTGCGTCTAAAGCAGGTGGTCTAACCACTAGACCACAGAGGCGGTTAAAAACTTGATCATACATATACAAAGAATGTAAGTTCGTCAGTGCCACCTGGCTATCAGTTATACCGAACGTGCGTGATCCTACAAATAACGAATGGCGGAGAGATAGACAGGCAAATATTGTATGAACACAAAACGGGAATGTTCACGTTTTTCTGGCCATGACACGTTGTCTGTGGCCGATGTGGAACGTTTCAATGTTTGGATTTTGGATTTTTTGAACAGTGTGTAGTATAAAAAAGACATATACCTACGTTATTTTATACACAAATGGTTTATTACAGAGTTTAAATTATTTAGTATGTATAGAAATATAAAATATGGTATCCTTTATATACTTTTCGCCAAATTTCACTTCGCAAACAACTTATCGCCAAAGTTTCATTTCCCAAATGAACTTTTAGCAACTGTTCTTTTCGCAACTAATTCATTTGGTCAAATTATCATTTGGTAAAATTTTACTTGGCAAATGTTTATATAGCAAATGTTTTATTTTGCCAAATATTATATCCCAAATAATTTGTTTGGTCAAATTGACACTTTACATACTTACCCACCGTTACCCACAAATCAAAGCATAAGGCACATGATCATGGTTTTCACAAAAAAATTATGTAAAACAAAGAGATTTCAGAAAATAGTATGGTTGCAAAAAGTAGGTATTGCAGAAAATAGTAGGTTAGGTTAGAACAGTGACCCTTAATGCGCGAAGGCGAGCGAAGCGTGCCGCGGCAACGGCCGCCGAGCGCTAGAATCACCTCTCTATTGTGAATGAATCATTTGGAAATTTCGATAAAAAGAATGAAATAAGAAAAAATTAATAACAAATTTTATATTAACCACCCACTAAATAAAATAATAACCACAAGCTAGTTTGTCATCCATTCTATGCACCAATCAAATTATTTTGTAAATAGTTTATCGTGAAATATGTTTGCCAAATGAAACATTTGGCAAAACATACTTTGCCAAACNAACGTAGCGTGGAACTTCCACCTACAAGGTGGACCGACGACATCGTAAAGGTAGCAGGGAAGCGCTGGACGCAGGCCGCTTCCAATCGATCAACATAGAAAGCATTGGGGGAGGCCTATTTTCAGCAGTGGACGTCCTATGGCTGAAATGATGGTGGTGGTGGTGGTACATATGTATACTGAAAATGTATCATTAGAAATCAACTACTGGGCCTAAGGAGATAAAAGGAGGGTTGGAAGTTTATATTATGTTTAAAGTAAGAGAGTTGAAATTTAAAATGTATGCGCTATAGGTGCTAAGAGCGGATTTTACGAAACTCCACCCCTAATGGAGTAAAACGAGGTCCACGCGTACGAAGTCGCGGGCGGCCGCTAGTACTAAATATTTAGCTGCGAATGCGATTCTCAATAATTCTACTACAGCAGAACCTTTAGAGAAATAAAGTAACGATAAAGTAGAAAGTTAAAAAGTATGAGTACCCAAATTAAAATTATGAGTCCTTTCTTGCCTTCCTGTCGATTATATTTTAACAGTTAACGAAATTACAACTGGCCAAGCACCTAATTTATGATGACCTTTATTTACAACAAGGGGCCGCCGATTTCGTACGTGTGGACCCCGTTTTACAGCCTTCGGGGTTTAAAATCCCATCTTTGTGAGCACCTACGTTGTAAAAGGAACCCCCATGCAAAATTTGAGACTCCTAGCAATTGTAGTTTCTGAGATTTCGTGATGAGTGAGTCAGTCAATCAGTGATCTTTCGTAGACAGCAGAAGATGCTAAGCTTGCATCCTTTGAACCAGTGAAAGACAAGGTCTGTAATTTACCTTTTATTAAACACTAGCGGCCGCCCGNAAGCCGTTATTATTATAAGCCATTTTATTGATATTTACCATAAAAGATTAATGTATTTCATTTTATTATAGGACATTGTCGTAGTTTTTAAATATCCGGTATCCGGCCGGATAGTGAGTTACTATCCGGTATCCGGCCGGATAGTAAATTTAGGCCGGATATCCGGCCTACCGGATAGTTACCGGATATCCGTTTCATCTCTAATAGAGACTCCCCGTCTCAACTCTATGCGCATTAAAGCACCTACATGGGTCCATTGTCGTAGAAGAAAGTGACTAAAGAAAATCAAGTGCTAAATGTTTAACCTAACGGTACAATTGTCGAGGAGGGTGGTTGTAACTGCCTTTTTGGGCAGTTCCCCGCTTTTTATGACCCCGTCGCGGCTTACAGTTAGAGTTATAAAATAAAGCGGTTTAGGAACCACTTTTATGCGACTTTAGGCTTTATAGCGATAATAAGATGATAAAAATTGGAATGTGTTTTGAAAGTAATAAAATGGATACTTCTAGCGTGATGGACAATCAAATAAGTATCTAAACATAACGCATCAGAGTTCCGATTCTGCTTTATCAGAGCACTTGAAGCAACTTATTTTAACAAGTTGTCCAATATTTATGAATATCAAATCTATACCATTTATTTGTACTGTAGTGTACCTAATTCTCAACTTACCGCTGGATTAGAGACGGACTTTCAGTGAAAACTTTCACTGATCGATGTTGTTGGACAGTTTCATTAGGAGAAATATGCTGGTTTCAGCAACAGATATAGATTATAATCTCTTTTAGACATAAACAATGACAGTTGCAGGAAAAACTGACAAACTATACAACGCCCAGATTCACAAACATTACTATAAGGACTCACTGTACGCGTGGACGCACAGGGTGACACACGAACCAATCACAGAGCTCTATTCAACGCTGTGCGTTCGATTGGCTGTTTCACTTAAGCAAGCGTGGTTTGTGAAAACGGGCGTTAAACTCTCTCATTGCCAGTACAGAGGAGAGTCCTAACTTCGCTGCCTCTTTATTCTTGCGTCAAATCCAAGATCCGAATTGTTTAAAATAATCTTTCCCCTGTCTGTGGTAGGGCATAAATCTGGGGCGCAGTGCCGTAACTACCATGGAAGGCCCGTCCACCCTTAAGAGCAATTTGGGCCAAAAACTAGGCCCAATTCTTACATAACTGCTTGAATTATTTCCCTTTATCTCGTCTTGAGGCTCGTGTTAAAGCGAATGTTGCGAAAACGCGGTTACATTTACAGTATTATAGGGGAGAGTTCGGTATATTGTACCGCCGGGTAAATTGTACCACCCTCATATTTCGTAAAGTATTTATTGAATGTCTGTAATTGCAAAACTCAGCGATACACAACTAAAATCAATTAATATCGGCCATGTGGTTTTTGCCGTGACAACAAACACGTGTGTTTTATTTTGAAAAGTATTTTTTCATTGTTTTCAAGTAACTTTTGAAAATACATGTTTAGTTTGTAATTTTGTTAAATTTAATCACAGGGTGTTTCTAATATATTATTTAGAAGCGTAAATTAGTGTGGATTACAATTATTTGAAACATTTTTCGGTATTTATGAGCTATATTTTTTACCGATTTTTTAAAAGCACTATCACCTAGTCGGCTAAATTGTACCACATCAAGTTGTATGGAACTTTACCAAAGGATTTTGAAATTTTTTTGAGTAAATCATATTTTGAAGTTATAATAGCGTAGTTATGTTTGACTAACAATAAATGAAAGCAAAAGACTGGCAAAGTAGATTAGGTACAAGTGTGCGTTACGATAATTGGAATTACAAAACTTTTACTCAAAATCGTGATAACGTGTAAAACAATATCGATTGTCTATGTTATTAACTACTGTTCCCTTTCTTTTTCTAATTTGTTAAGAATGTATCGTATAATATTTTGCCATAGTTTTTTTATAGGCTTGAAATTTATTGAAATCCAATTTAGTAACCCTGTGGTACAAATTATCGAACCGGTTGGCTAAATTGGACCGAAGCTCTGAACTTGTACTTTGTTGATTTGTGGTAAATATACAACAATCATGTTAATTAATACTTATGAAATAGTAAGTTGAATAATGTATCTTTAATTATATACCATGGACATTAGCAAAAATAAAACAAAACTATGTGTAAAATGGGATTGAAAAAAACTGGTCCAAATTAGCGGACTCTCCCTTATTGAAATTAATTGCCTGCTGTTATTTTTAATGTTATTGATTCACGTTGTCAAATGAACCTTATACCTATAGAAACACAAGAAGGGTGAGCCATATTATTTAGTAGGTACAGCATATCAGACTACATCTTTGAAGTAAAATCGGCCTTATTACAACTGAATAAGTATAACCTTCACGTGCTTAAAATATTAATAAACTTGAAACCATTTGTAGTTCATTACATATCTAGTAAGCTGAAGTAGCAATGGGAAGGGCATATAGTACGCAGAAACTGACGGCCGATGGGGCAGCAAGGTTCTGGTGTGGAGGCCACGTACCGGAAAGCGCAGCATAGAATCGACCTCATAAAGTTAGCGGGAAGGCGCTGGATGCAGGCCGCCACCAACCGGCCATTGTGGAAATCATTAGGGGAATGTTCAGCAGTGGACGTCCTATGGCTGAAATTATGATGATGATGATGACTTATCTAGACACGTTATTTCATCTACTAGTTTAGTGGTACACCCAAGCATCATTTTAAACTTTAACAAAAATATTAAGTCACCAAAAATCTGTATAATACATAGAAATACACAAAATATTGTTGGGCAGAATTTCCGCCCAAGTCTTCGCCTTAAGTTGTCGCCTTAAGTCGGCCGTAAACTTAATTGTTTTCTTCGGACTTATCAGCTGCTTTATGTTATTTAGTAATCTACAGAGTTTCCCGAGAGCCATGAAAACCGGTGCTTACCTCAGCTATAAAGTAGGCCCCAGAGAATTCATTGTTTTAAAATTATAATATTTCGCTGATCGGGATAAGGTAGGTATGAATAAATGAATATCTATACTAATATTATGAAGCTGAAGAGTTTGTTTGCTTCCGCGCTAATCTCAGGAACTACCTACTTACTGGTCCGATTTAAAAAAATATTTTTGTGTTGTATCCAACATATCACCCATAAATTGGGAAAAATTATTCA